AATAAGCATTAAAACGTATGTGAGAAAATTAGGATTTCAGAGAGAAAATTGTGTGTTTTTTTTTTTTTTTTTTTTTTTTTTTTAGTTAATCTTGCATCCTGCCACTTTGCTGAAGGTGTTTATCAGCTGTAAGAGTTCCCTGGTAGAGTTTTTCAGGTCACTTATATAAACTAGCATATCATCGGCAAATAGTGAAAGTTTAACTTCTTTTCAATTTGTATCCCCTTGATCTCCTTTTGTTGTCTTATTGTTCTAGCTAGTACCTCAGGTACAATATTGAAGAGATGTGGAGAGAGTGGACAACCTTGTCTTGTTCCTGATTTTAGAGGAATTGCATTGAGTTTCTCTCCATTTAGTTTTATGTTGGCTGTTGGTTTGCTGTATATTGCTTTTAATTATGTTTAGGTATGTTCCTGTTATCCCTGATCAACTCCAAGGGTGTTGGATTTTGTCAAAGGCTTTTTCAGCATCTAGTGAGATGATCATGTGGTTTTCCTTTTTCAGTTTGTTTATATGGTGGATTACATTGATGGATTTTCATATGTTGAACCATCCCTGCATCCCAGGGATGAAGCCTACTTGGTTATGTTGGATGATTTCTCTGGTGTGGTCTTGGATTCGATTTGCCAGTATTTTATTGAGTATTTTTGTGTTAATCTTCTTGAGGGATATTGGTCTGTAGTTCTTTTTCTTAGTTGTGTCCTTGTATGGCTTGGGTACCAGGATAATTGTAGCCTCGTAAAAAGTTTGGCAATGATCCTTCTGCTTCTATTGTATGAAACACTTTGAGGAGTATTGTCGTATTAGCTGTTCTTCGAATTTCTGGTAGAATTCTGCACTGAAACCATCTGGCCCTGGGGTTTTTTTGGTTGGGAGACTTTTGATGACTGCTTCAATTTCATTAGGGGTTATAGGTCTATTTAAATTGCTTATTTGGTCTTGATTAAATTTTGGTAAGTGATATTTTTCCAGAAAATTGTTCATTTCTGTTCAATTTTCTAATTTTGTGGAGTACAGGTTTTCAACCTGAAGATTCTCTGTATTTCCTCTGTGTCCATTGTTATGTCCCCTTTTTCATTTCTGATTTTGTTAATTTGTTAATTTCTCTCAGTCTTTTGGTTGGTTTGGATAAAGGTTTGTCTATCTTGTTGATTTTCTGGAAGAACCAACTCTTTGTTTCATTGATTCTCTGTATTGTTTTCCTAGTTTGTGCCATATTGATTTCATTCCTCAAAATGATTATTTTCTAGCATCTATTCCTCCAGAGTGAGTTTGCTTCTTTTTGTTCTAGAACTTTCAATTGTGCTGTTAATTCTCTAGTGTGACTATCCTCCAGTTTCTTCATGTGGGCACTTAGGTCTATGAATTTTTCTCTTAGCACTGCTTTCAAAGTGTCCCATAAGTTTTGGGTATATTGTGTCTTCATTCTCATTGAATTCTAGGAAGTCTTTAATTTCTTTATTCAATTTCCATAAGTTTGTAGGTTTTCTGCAATTTGTGTTGTTGTTGAAGTCTAACTTTAAAGCATGGTGGTATGATAAGAAACAGGGGTTTATTCCAATTTTTTTGTATCTATTGAGGTTTACTATATTGCCGTATATGTGGTCAATTTTAGAGAAGGTTCCATGTGGCTCTGAGAAGAAGGTATATTCTTTTGTGTTTGGATGGAATGTTCTATAAATGTCTGTTAAACCCAATTGGTCATAACTTCTGTTAGTTCCTTAGTTTCTTTGTTAAGCTTCTGTCTAGTGGAACTGTCTATTGTTGAGAGTGGGGTGTTGAAATCTCCAACTGTAAGTGTGTGAGGTTTTATATAAGATTTGAGTTTTAGTAATGTTTCTCTTATGAATGTGGGTGCCTTTGTATTTGGGGCATGTATGTTCAGAATTGAGACTTCATTTTGATGGATTTCTCCTGTGATGAATAAGAAATGACCTTCTTTGTTTTGTTTTTTTTTTTTTTTTTTTTGATTGATTTTAGTTTAAAGTATAATTTGCTAGGTATAAGTATTGCTATACCCTCTTGTTTCTTGGGTCCATTTGTTTGGAAAGTCTTTTCCCAACCCTTAACTCTGAGGTGACATCAGTCTTTGAAGGGAGGTGTATTTCTTGTATGCAGCAAAAAGCTGGATTCTGTCTTCATAGCCTGTGTCTTTTTATAGATGAGTTGAGACCATTAATATTGAGGGATATTAATTACCATTGATGTTAATTCTTGCTTGTGTTGGATTTGCTGTTGGTGATGGTTTTGTATGTGGACTCCCCCTCCCCCCATTTTTCTTTTGGCTATTGGTAAAGTGGAATTATCTATTGCCTATGCTTTTTGTGGGTATAGTTAATTTCTTTGGATTGGAGTTTTCATTCCAGAACTTTTTGTAGGGCTGGATTAGTTGATGTGTGTTATTTAAATCTGATTTTGTCATGGAATATCTTGGTTTCTCCTTCAATAGTGAGTGAAAGCTTTGCTGGGTATAGTAGTCTGGGCTGGTATCCGTGATCTCTTAGTGTTGAACTTCTGGCCCTCACAGTTTCCATGGAGAAGTCAGGTGTAATTTTGATAGGGTTGCCTTTATATGTTACTTGTCCTTTTTCCTTTGCTGCTCTTAATGTTCTTTCTTTACTCTTTATGTTTGATGTTTTGATTATTATGTGGTGAGGGGACTTTCTTTTGTGGTCCATTCTATTTGGTGTTCTGTAAGCTTCTTGTACTTTCATTGTCATGTCTTTCTTTAGGTTGGAGAAGTTTTCTTCTGTGATTTTGTTGAATATATTTTCTGCACTTTTGGGATGGGTTCCTTCACCACCTTCTTTTATTCTTTTATTCTTAGGTTTGGCCTTTTCACAGTGTCCCATATTTCCTGGATATTTTGTGTCAGGGATTTGTTGGACTTAAGATTTTCTTTGGTCAATGAATCTCTATTTCTCCGAGTGTATCTTCTCTCTTTCATCTCTTGTATTTAGTTGGTTATGCTTGCATCTGTAGTTCCTGATTGTTGGCCTAACTTTTCTATTTCCTGAATTCCTTCAGACTGTCTTTTTGTTTGTTTTTTGTCTCTATTTCAGCTTTCAAACCATTCACTGTTTGAATTGTTTCTTGTAATTTTTGGTTTGTCTTTTCCTCCATTTCTTGAATTTTTTTTTCCATTCCTCTAAGGGATTTTCTCATTACCTCTTTTAACGTCTCTATCATCATCATAAAGTTGTTTTTAGGGTCATTCTCTTCTGCTTCATCTGTGTTGGGATGGTCAAATCTTGCTGGTGTGGAGTCCCTAGACTCTGGTAGCATTATATTGATCTTCCTGTTGTTGACTATGTTCTTATACTGTCGTCTACCCATTTCTATTTCCAGTACGTACTGGTAGGGTCTCTCCATCTTTTAGTGGGTACGGGACCAAGGTTCTCTTCCAGTGGGTGGAAGCAGTTCCAATAGTCAGATGGCTCTCCTACTCCAGTAGGTGGTGGTGCGACTCCTCCCTTGGTTGGAGGCTGGACCAGGATGCTGGCAGACTCCAGATGAGCCTGTCCAATAGGGTGGGCTTCCCTGCACTTAGCTCTCACTCCTCAGTCCTCAAGACTCTCTGAGCATGGCACCAGAAGGCAGGCCAGAAACACACACTTCATTTGAAAAAATTTATAGCTTTTGTATTTACTCAAATTTAAAAATATTTATTTATTTTATGTATATGAGTGACTCTCTTCATGTACACCAGAAGAGAGCATCATATCCTGTTACAGATGGTTGTGAGCCACCATTTGGTTGCTGAGGACCTCTAGAAGAGTAGCCAGTGTTCCCAACTACTGAGCCATTTCTCCAGCCCCTCATTTGGAAATTTAAAACAAACCAAAAGCGTATAAATGACTCATGGAACAAAGAAATCAGAAAAAAATGGAGTGTATTTGGAATTACTAAACACAGGGTGGGGGTTGAAGGGAGAGCAAGGACTATTTCATTTTAAGTGTATTCATTTAACTTTTCTTTAACTTATAATAAATCATAAGTGTGTTCACTAGAAATAAAAAAGGATTGAAACTTCTGAGATGACTGGGTAGATACACTTTCCTGTTTCTCAGAGAACACAAGTGGACATTGTATAAAAGCAAATATAGGAGGCTGAAAAGGGTGAGAAGGGACATAAGGAAACGAAGGATAAATCCCATATGTTTCCTTTTTATCTTCTATCTGCCAGACTTTATACTTAGCACTGTAGAAACATCAGTGGATTCAGATTAAGAGGCAAACATTTTCTTTTGTATGTGTGTGCTCTGTATGTGGAGAGTATTAGATGAAGCCAGAAGAAAACACTGGACCCTTGCACCTGAAAAACTGATGGTTTTATGATGGTTTCATGACATCAATAGAATCCCTAACTAAGACAGCAGTGCACACCTGCAATACCAGTACCCAGGAAGTAGAGACTGGAGGATCAGAAGCTCAAGGTTACCCTCAGCTACAGAGTGAGTTTCAGGACAGCCTGAGATACATGAAACCCTATCTAAAACTTCTAAAACTTTTGTTTCCATAGAAGCAACAGTTTCACCTAGTCCAGGCTAACCTTGAATTTGCAATTCTTGCTTCTATCTCTAGTTCTGAGATTACAGATGTATACCACCACATCTGTCAGTAATTTTTTTGATGAATACAATTAGGAAACAGTGATTCTTTGAGATGATAAGGAGTAGTAACTTTGTTCCCAGATAGCTTCATACATCCATTGCCTTTATGTATGTATGTATCTATTTCTTGTAACTTAGAGACAAAGTGCAGACTTCACTGAGTGACTTTTCACTGACTTTCTTTTAGGGTTTCAGGATAACTGTTGCTCCTGTCTGTTATTACTATTTATACTGGGAGTTTTATATGAAGCCTCACTCACACATTCTCACCATTGAGCTATATACCCCATATCAGAACTCATTTTCTTTAACTTGGACTTTGTATGCTTTGGCTTTGCCATCTGATGGAGTTGTTAGAAGCATTCTCATTTTCTCTGACTCTTCCAGTAACCGTGACTGAGGTCTTACCGAAGGAAAAGAAACAGAAGGACGAGAAGACCTTAATCCTGGGCCAAGCTGTGGTGGACCTTCTTCCTTTACTGGAAGGTGAGATGTATAATTTATCCAAAAGCAAAAAATAACAAAACACATAAAACCTATACCCAGCAATGTGTAAAACTCAGCCTCCATGGCTTTGAAAGGTTTTAGTGGGAGATGAGGGTATGTGTCTGTGCCTATATTAACTCTGATTTGACTCTTCCTTGGCTCAATTTGACCTTACAGGAGAGGACTCATTTGAAACGATGGTCCCATTACACCCTGTGCAGGGGTCACCCTTAGAAACTCCTTCACCAGGCTCTAAGGTAATCTGAGTTTAAAGTCTTAGCATTTTCAGCTGCTTCATAATCCAGCTATTAAGGTAGAGTTCAGGTGAGTACAATGCCTTCCTTTCACAATACCTGCAGAGCTATTTCTAGTAAACAGGAATGACTAAGGCTAAGTCCCATTGTGGATTATAACCCAGTGTAATGAATCATTGTGGCAGAGAGCAGGTATTGGTTACTTTGCCCAAAAGGCAAGTAACTTAGCTATGGATGCTTCTTGAGTTGTGTGCCAGAATGTTAAATTGCATATGACAGTATATACTTAGGCATGGCAGCCTGCCTATGGTTGAGTACTTCTAATTCAACAGTACCAGCCAATACCTTATTGTGAATTCCAAAATGTGAGACTTTGCAACATGTTGGAATTCTCTTCAATGTCACCCTGTAAACATCTAGACATACTATTCTGAACTCAGCATCTTCCCCTAAACTTGTTTTTTTTTTTTTTTCCTTAATCTTAGTGCCTTGGACCAATGACAGTACCCATCCATGAAATTGCATGACATAGGACCTAAGTTACACCCATGGATCCTAAGTACAGCCAATCTCCAAATCTAACCTATTCTCCCTCCTAAGTCTTTAGACTTCCTCCCTCCCTCCCTCCCTCCCTCCCTCCCTTCCTTTCTTTCTTTTTTTTTTTCTTTCTTTCTTTTTTTTTGACACAGGATCTCTCTATGTAGCTTTGTAGATGAGGCTGGTCTCGAACTCACAGAGAGCCACCTGCCTCTGCCTCCCCAGTGCTGAGATTAAAGGTGTGCGCCACCATCACCCGGCTTAGACTCTTTCTTTTTACTATTTCCGTGCTCCATGTTACCTAGGCTTTCGTTGGGTCATTGTAAGTAATCCTGGCACTTACCTTTGGGCTGAAGGTAGCATACCGTTTCACTCCCTTTTATAGTAGCTTTTCTTTGGACCCAGAATTATTTTTTCTTTATCCCCTTTGCCAATCCAAATGACGTACTCCTTTATACCCTGTAAAAGTAGGCTCAGATGTCATTGTTTCCTACTCTCCCACAGCCTAACAATCTTTGGTGCTTCTCAAAGACAGCATTTTGTACAGAATTTTTCATGACTCATAAAGCTATGATACGAGTTCCATAATGAAAGGAAAACTTTCATTATGTGTTGTGTGTGTGTGTGTGTGTGTGTGTGTGTGTGTGTGTTTGGAGAGAGAGAGAGAGAGAGAGAGAGAGAGAGAGAGTTTCTCTGTATAGCCTTGGCTGTCCTGGAACTTAATCTGTAGAGCAGGCTGGCCTCAAATTCAAAGATCGGCCTGCTTCTGCCTCCTGAGTGCTGGAATTAAAGGTGTACACCACCACCCAGATGAAAATATCTTATAATAAATCACTACATTAAGTGATTAGAATAATCATAAGGGAGTGGCTATGGGGAAAACATCTTCAATCTTAACACCTGGAAGGAAGAGGCAAGGTGGATCTCTATGAGTTTGAGGCCTGCCTGGTCTAGAGAGCAAGTTCCAGGCCAGGCAGGACTACATAGTGAGACCCTGTATAGCAATGATGATGATAGTGATGTAGATGGCTTAGTTAGCATTTGCCATACAAGTACCTAGGCTGGAATTTCCAGAATCCATGTAAAGCCACATGGGCCTGTAATCCCAGTGGGAAGTGAAGACCAATACCCAAGGTTGTTCTTTAGCCTCCACATGCTCACAATGGCATATATGTGCCTGAACACATACACACACATTATACATGCACACACGCTGCATAATCATAAAATACAGGCTAGCAAAATAAAAGCACTCAATTTCATTTCATGAGTGCCAACTAGTTGTGTTCAGTATGGAATCATCCAGGTTCTCTTCCACATGTGTCTCTGTTTGCATTGTACCTCACTGTCACAGAATGAAGGACTTCTAGTTCAGCATACAACTCCAGTTCTCCTCCTGACTCTTTGACTCCTGGTAGTTGGGGAAAGATAAAATTTAAGTCCTCTGGAAATAATTGAGTTTAACCTCATCTTGAGCAGTGATAGCAAATAAGCTCAGTGAAGATCACAAGGACCAATGACATTTTTCATAAGTGTCGTGTAATTTTCTTTTATAGCAATGCAGTCTTGATGTGAAGGTGTTTGTGGCAGAGCCCTTACTGACCCCAGCCCAGGTCTCAGCGAGCAATCTCCTGAAGGTCACACTGGAGGCTGCCTATTCTGTGCCTGAGTCATTCATGCCAGTAGGGCCTCAGCAGAACTACATGGTTGGTCTGCAAGTTCCATCAGTTGGAGAGGTAATGCCCTACTTCCAGATACTTACATGGTGGGCTCAAGCAAGCCCACACTCCCTGCTAAGACTGCATTCAAATTCACTCTACCAATGGCTAAGATTTATTTTAGGTTTAAAAACTATCATTGATTTTTGTTTTACATGTATATTTTCATAACCATATGCAGTTACACAATCTATACATTACATGTAATTTATAATAATCACTATATAGTTATGGTTCAAAATATGTGCAACATTTAAAAGTTACCAGGTCTTGGTATGCTTATACATTTGTTGTTTTGTGGGTTTTGTATAAGTATCTCATGCAATGCTTCCTCTTAATTCTAGGTATTGTTTAGATCATATCTCTAGATACAGGAGTCCCAAGATGCAATAAGTTAATGACCCCACCCATGCTAATGAAACAGCTGTGCATGTAAATTTTCACCGCACTCATGTGTTGGGGATTTGGTTGGGTCCCAGAGACACTTGACTTCCATTGTTAAAACTGAAATAACAAGGGGAGTCTGGGTGGTTGCTTTCCTACCCAGGGACAGCCCCATGACTGCATGTGGCACATCTGTGCATTTCTTCAGCTCCAACTTCAGGTTTCTACTTTTTTTTCTTTGGGCTGGTGAAATGGCTTGAGGAGTAAAGGTATATTGCTGGGCCCAGTGACTTGAGTTTGATCCCTTGAACCTACACTGGGAAAGAGAACACCAGCTCCCAAATTTGTGCATATGCATGCACACATATGTGAGTGAATAAATAAAACACTTATTAAAAGAATAATTTACAGTTCATCATGTTTTCTGTAATACACAGAGTTATACACTAGCACAAATAGAACAAAGGGCACAGGCCCCTACTATGTAATCATTGGAATAATACCCACAATTCTACTGGAAAAGGTAGTAATTGGACTTTTATACATTCCAAAGACCTTTACAAGTGTCCTCACATATAGCATTTATTGTTTTAGAAAGACTACCCTATGGTATTCAAGAATGGAAATCTGAAACTTGGAGGAGAAAGAGAAACCGTTCCCAGGCCTAAAAAGTGGCCGATTGCTAACATTCTCGCTCCAGGAGCTAATAACATTCCTGATGCATTCATTGTGGGTGGTCCCTATGAGGAAGAAGAAGGAGAACTCAACCATCCAGAGGTGAGAAAGAACAGATGTCCATGATAAACACCGTTCACCAACAGATTATAAACTTTTTGTGAATCTGAAATTTACACACACATACACACACACACACACACACACACACACACACACACACCTGGCACTTATCAAAACTGGTTGCTTGTAAAAACCATTATCATCTAATTCTGCAAACAGAATAATTTACATCCAATTTAATCTTTTACTTTTATTCCTTTTTGAGAAGATAAATATGTTATCCAATAGTTACTATAATGAAATGCTCAAGATAATCAACTTACAAGGAGGAAAGTTCTGTTTTGGTTCATATTTGGAGGTTCAGCTCTGTGATGGGTTGGGCCCTCTATTCTGTACATAGGAAGCCCCCAATTCGGCTTCATTTCCTAAAGGCTCCAAACCTACCAGTATTACCACTCTTGGGGCCTTTAATACAGAGGTCTTTGGGAGACATTCAGCCTCCAAACTATAGCAATAATAGTAAAATTAAAAATTTAAAATTAAGAAGCATAAAGTAAAAGTCTTTCTCCCATGTGTGTATCTCCTTGCTAATTCTTTTCCATTCTGTTTTCTTAGTTATTTTGTCACAGTTTCTCCCAGATGCCTTCTGTACAAAGAAAATAAGTACAGTGATGGGAGACTAAGAGACATGACCTAGTAAAGATAAAAAGGGAGTCAGACTTCAGAAGGACATGCTTACCAAACAAAAACAAGTTCTTAAAAGAAAACAATAAAAACTTCAGGCAGTGGAGGCAGACACCTTCAGTCCCAACACTTGGGAGGCAGAGGCAGGTGATCTCTGTGCGTTCAAGGCCAGCCTGGTCTACAGAGCAAGAGCCAGGACAGGCTCCAAAGCTACACAGGGAAACCAAGAAAAGTTTCCAGTGGGCTACATTTCTATTAGTTGATTTGTAATGGGAAATGCCTTTCCATTTGATAATAATTCCAAAGGTAGTGAAATAATATTCAGTTAGCATTTATAGCAAAGTTTACAGATAAAATTCTTTTCTTTCCTTCCTTCCTTTCTTTTGTTCATTCAGTTGTTTGTCAAGATAGGGTTTCTCTTTAGCCAAGAGGTGGTGGCACACACCCAGAACTTGAGAGACGGAGACAGGCAGATCTCTGTGAGTTTGAGCCCAACCTGGTCTACAAGTGAGATCTAGGACAGCCAGTGCTACCCAGAGAAATCCTGTCTTGAAAAACTAAAAAAGAAATATAAATAAATGTAATTTTTTTCTTGGTGCCGGAGAGATGACCCAGTTGTTAATATATATAACATAAGATCTAAATATATAAAATAAAATATAAATATAAGGTAATTACAAATATTCACTAAAACCAGAGGACCCTGATTTGACTCCAAGCACTCACATGGAGAATCACAACCATCTGTAACTCTAATTCCAACAGATCTGATGCTTTCTTCTGGTTTCCCAGGCCACCAGGCACACACATGGTACACAGCCATACCTGTAGGCAAAACACCCAAACACATTTTTTTTAAAATGGCTTGTTTTTAGGTAATATAGGCTTTGGGGAAGTATTCAATTGTATTCTTTTCAGAACTAAAACATATCAAGAAGTCACTCCTGGCAGTGATTACAAACATCTTTAATCCAGCACTCAGGAGGCAGAGACAGGTGGATTTCTGAGTTCGAGGAAGCATCGTCTACAGATGAGTTCCTGGACAGCAAAGACTATACACAGAGATATCCTGTCTCAAAAAAACAAACCAAGCAACCAAACAAAAAGCCACTCCTATTTTTCTGTTTATTTGCTGGTATTGTTTTTGTTACAGGACTGGGTACATATTGTCCTTACACTAGGAGCAGGAAGCCTGTCAGTTTTGCCTCATATTTATAGACATTAGTGCACACATATTGATACTGTCCTCATCATTTTAAAGGCTATTATACAATTTGCTTTGTTATACTTCATAGTGTATCATATATTTTTTCATATCACAACATTAAAAAATGTTCACTTGCTTTCATTTGATATGGTTGCTATATGATAGGACATTGGGTGGGCATACTTTAATTTGCTTATCCCTTTCTAATGGTAATCAAGATTTAGTTTAATTTTTCTCTTTTTATTTCAAATATACTTATCAAGGACATGGAAAAGATAAGAAAGTGATTGTAAATGATTCTCATACTAGGTGATGAACATCAATGAAAACATTCAGAAAAATAATTAGTGAAATGAGGATGCTGAATTCTTTTCATTGACTCTAAATATCTAAGCTAGTAATAAGGCTGGCAACATTTAAAAATTGCTGGAATGTCTTTTCTCATCTTTTGTTTAGTGAATATTCATACTTCCCTTAGATTTATATTTTATTTTATATATTTATATCTTATGTTATATTTTAGCTTATATAATTGTTTCTCAACCTTGGCTGCACTTTAAAATTACCTGTAAAGGAGCCTGGTGTGGTGCTATGTATCATTGATCCTTGTACTTGGGAGTAGAAGATCTTTGAGGCCAGTCTAGACTACATAGTGAGTTCCAGGCCAGCCTGGTCTACATAGTGAGACCCTACCCCAAAAACCAAACCAAACTAAAAGCTGTAACTCCAATTCCAGCAGATCTGTAAATGTCTTTTTGAGACCAAGTCTCAACAATTGCCTAGGTTGGGCTTGAACTCATCTTCCTGACTCACCCTACTCAGAACTTGGATTACAGATGTGACACTATGTAGAGCCCCCAGAAATCCTTTTAAAATGATGACCATGGTGTGTTAGTTTTGTTTCCTATTGCTGTGGGGAGACATTCTGAGGTAAGCAGCTCAGGAAAGAAAGGAGTGTTCAGCTAACAGAACCAGGTTATAGCCTGTCATTTCAGAGAAGAACTGGTCATGTCACAGCAGCTGTAGTCAAAAGCAGAGAGCAATGGATTTGTGCACACAGCCTTGTGCCTAGTTCTGATGCCACTCTCTCTTCCATGATTTTAATGTATACCCTGAACTGAGAATCACTGACTGAGGTTATGTGCATAAACAAATGGCACCTAGTAATGGGCTGATGTAAGCAAAGCATTATCTCAGTAGATTATCTCAGACTGCAAGCAGTTACAGTAGGTTTTGTATTCAAGAACAACCACAGATCATCAGAATGAACAGAAAACACCTCTGCTTATTTTTTCAGGACAGGGAATTTAGGAACCAAGCAGAGTGCATCAAAAAAAGGATCGTCTGGGACTTGGAGAGCCGCTGCTACCTTGATCCTTCTGCAGTTGCAAGGTGGGAACAGAAAGTCATGTGCTTAACCAGACAGGTCTTCAGGGGAGGGAGGGAGTTGTTATCCCACCCCCACTCCACCCCAGACAGGGTTTCTTTGTGTAGCTTTGGCTGTCCTTTGTGTAGCTCTGTAGACTAGGCTGGCCTTGAACTCACAAAGATACACCTGCCACTGCCTCCCAAGTGCCATCATTGCCAGGCTGTTTGTGGTTTATTTAAATACAGCACAATCTGGTAAGAAACTATTCCCGTGATGATTAACTCAATCCTGTGTACACAACAAAGCATGTCTAAATCTCCTTTGAGGAACAAAGTAAGCTGGGTACAGATCAGAAGTGACTACATTGAAGCTCTGTAAAGTACACATACACTTTCCATAAGGATAAGTTCTGTAGATTGACTGAGGAAAAACAAGTTTATGAGAAAGGTCTGGAGGAGAGCTCAGAGCTGGCTATAATAAATGTCGCTCCAGCCTTCTGGCGGAAAACAGGTTTCACATTCCTTGCCTTGGAACAACTGTGTGTGCTTGACATTTTATATTCCCCTAGGGCATGTCTGTGAACACAGAGACCTACGTGCTCCCTACAAGAGAGCTGGCTCAGCAGATAAGAGCATTTGTTGCTCTTGCAGAGGGCCTGGGTTTGATTCCTAGCATTCACATGGCAGCTCATAAGTAAAAATAAAAAAGAACACTCAGGGATATTTCAAAACATTTGCTTCCAACCCCCTTAAAGCATTAGGCTTCTCTCCTCTTTGGGGCCCTTCAAGGCTCCTGCATTTAACACCCTTAAGAAGAGGCAACCCATGCAGAGGTCGTACACACCTCTGATCCAATGAGTTGGAGTCCAGCCCCGTCTACAAACTGAGTTCCAGGACAGTCAGTGCTATTACACAGAGAAACCCTGTCTTGAAAAACCAAGAGGCACCCCTTACATCTGTATTCCGGGGAATTTTTTAGCTCTTAGTCTCAATAATTTGTCAAAGTTACTATTGAGTTTTTTGTTTTTTGTTTTTTTTCTTTTTTCTTTTCTGGTTACTGTACTGGCGTCAGCTGTCTGTTGAGTGGGTCTCAGCTTTGATCTAAATCTCAGCTCCCAGTTTTCCTTTTACGTCAATTCTCTGATGGCAGTTTTCTTGCTGCAAGGACAGCATGACTACTTCAATGTTGTTTCACAGCTGATGGCTCCGCTCACCCACATAGTACAAATAAACATGCGTTTGCAAACTTTGGTTATTTCTTTAAGATAATTCACTGGACATGGAATTTATGGTTCAAAGAATGCAAACATTTTTTATATCACTCACTGCTGTGACAAAATACCCACCAAAAAGCATCTTCAGGGAAAAATAGGTTGTTTTGTCTCATACTTTGAAGGCACAGTCCTTCAAATTATGGTGGGGGAGGCACAGTGACAGGAGCTGAGACAACTGGTCACATATGTCCACAGTTAGTTAGGAAGGAGAGACAAGTGAACATGGCAGCTCACCTTTCCCTCTTTATTCAGTTAAAGACTCTAACCTTCCAGAAGCTGTCACCTACATTCAGTCTGCTTTATGGGGGGTCTTCCCTGTACAGGTAAGCCTGTCCGAAACATCCTCAGAAATATACCCAGGAATGTGTTTCTCTCTGGTTAATCTAAGTCCTGCTAACTTTCTAAGATTAATCATTACAATTTTCAGTGTTTTTATTTGTGTTTAATTGTTTAGACAGGATCTCCCTATGTAGACCAGGTTAGGCCAGCCTAAATTCACCATCCTTTGGCTTCTGCCTCCAAGTGCTAAGATTAAAGACAAGCACTCCCCCAAGCCTCCCCAGTGGTTGGTTTGTTTTTAAGACACGGTCTTGCTATATATCCTAGACTGGCCTGGAACTCACTGTGCAGCCCTCAAATTTGTGATCCTCTTGTCTTAGCCTCCTGTCAAGCTTATATTGCCACGTGGTGCCAAAAGATGTATGATTTGACATTGTTAGTACTTAAGCATAATTATTTTTATAAATATATAAACCTAGAATGGTTTTAAAATATCAGCCACCCAAGCTGGAGAGATGGCTCGGCTATTATGAGTACTGGCTGAGGATACTGGTTCAGTTCTCAGCATCCTCATTAAGCAACTCACAACTGCCAAGGACTCCAGTTCCAGAGGAGACAGTGCCATCAGCAGGCACTGTACTGGCATGCATATAACTCACAGAGACACACATACACAGTTAAAAATAATGAAAATAAATCTTTATTTTTTTAAAACAGCAAAATAGTCCAGCATGGTGGTGCATATCCGTTATCTTAGTGCTTAGGAGCTTCAAACAGAAGGGATCTGAGTTTGACCACACTGAGGTATAGGAGTGAGACTCTGTCCCAAAACACACAAAAATCACCTGCCTAATAAGACAGACTCTCTCCCCCTCCCTCTCCCTCTCCCTCTCTTTCTCCCCTCTCCCCATACCAGATGTATTCCATTACTTTCTAAATGATCAATTTTATTTTTAGGACTTTGAACTGAATCCAGGACTAGACAAGGCTTGGTTTACACTGAGCCATACTCCCAGCTCATTTTACTCATTATTGTCTAAAAAAAGAATATTTCATGCTATAATGGTCCATGTTTGCAATGTGGTTATGACAGGCTGTTTTTTTTAATTTGCAGTTTTCAGAAGCGAATTGCTGATTGCCGGCTCTGGCCAGTGGAGATCACAAGAGTGCCTTTGGTCACTGTACCAAAAGGGAAACCAGGCAAACTTGAGAAGGTAAACATGTGTATCCCCAAAATAAAACTGGTGCGGAGACTTCTTCCCATGGCTTTCAGCAGCTGGGAAACTGAGACAAGGATCATTTGCATTCCAGTGCTGGACAGCAGCCTCAGCCTCCAGTTCATTTTTAAAATTAGAAGTGACCAATCAAATGAAGTCTGTTATTCTTTGTCTGATTTTACGTGGCTGTTTTTCCTAATGCAACCAATTTGTGATTCTTTGCCTTGGATTTTCTTGGTGTGTGCATTGAAAGCCTCATGTTCCATGAAAACCTGGATGGTTGGCAACTGAAGTTCCCTGTTGCTCACAAATATTTGTTCAAGCCTTATTTTCAGATACTTGTTTCCCCTTACCCTTGTTATATTCTTACCATGTGTACCATAAGAAATCGTCATTTTTTAATCTAAGTCAAAAAGTGTAATAACAATTCAATCTGGTAAACATAATGTTTTAGGCTGCTTGTTAATGTGTTAGGATTCATAGAAAAACCACGATTCTGGGAAGACATAATTTTGTGAGCATGTTCTCTACCATCTTTCCTGTGTATGTGTCATCTTTACTCCTTATGTATAAAGTTTGTGACGGTAGGGTTCATACTGTTTTATAGCCTGCACTGAAGTTAGCATGACACACAGTTCATAGCAGGCCTCTAACAAGAATCTAAGTTATTTGATTTGGTTTTGTATAAGAAGAATGTTACCACCATAATGAACAAAAGGAAGCCTATGTACTACTGACAGGGATGGAAAGTAGTCCATCCACAGTGGAAATCAGTGTGGAGGTTCCCTGAAACTAAAACTAGATCTAACATCTGGCACAGCTGTTTCACTTCTGAGTATTTGCCCAAATGACTCCTGGTCACCACGTCACAGAGACACCGGCACATCCATGTTTATTGTCTCTTTGCTCACAGTAGCAGTTAGGAAACCAACCCAGGAACTCACCCACAGAGAAATGGCTTTAAAAATGTGTTTAAATACATAATGGAATTTTTTTCAGCCATAAAGAATAAAGTAATGCCTGCTGGCAGATGGTGGCACACTCCTTTAATCCCAGCACTTAGGAGGCAGAGGCAGGCAGATTTCTATGAGTTTGAGGCCAGCCTGGTCTACAAAGTGAGTTCTAGGACAGCCAAGCTATTACACAGAGAAACACTGTCTCAAAACAAACAAACAAACAAGCAAGCAAAAAAGTACAGTAATATTTGCAGGAAAACAGATGCAATCATATTATATCAATTAAATCAGCCTCAGAAAGGCAAATACATATTTCCTGTCATTTAGAGTTCCTGAATTTAATACAGATACATACAGTTACATCTGTACATATGACGTGAAAGTAGAAGCAACACCACTGAGGGGAACAAAAGGAACTAAGGGGAAGAAGGGGAGCGGTGTGTGGAGGAGTGCTCACTGTACATTAATACCTGACTAAACATGTCCTTATGTAACACAGTATCATGTACAATGAATGTGCACAATGAAAAATGTTTTGTCTTGAGACAGGGTCTCTCTATATAACCCTGCCTGTCCTGGAACTCACTCTGTAGACCAGGCTGTCTTGAACTCACAGAAATCAGATTTCTCTGCCTCCCGAGTGTTTGGATTAAAGGCATGTGTCACCATGCCTAACTCTGAGAATCATTTAAAATGCTGCTTATGTTATGTGATATACATGCATATATGAGTGTTTGTGTGTGTGTGAGTACACATGTAACTGTGAGTACGTGTGTGTGTGCGCACACAGTGGTAAGTGGAGGCCAGAGGTTGACACTGGAGTGGTTTACCTTGATGGAATTCTACCTTATATGCTGCAGCCAAGTCTCTCATTTTGAGCCCAGAACTCACCACTTGGGATATTCTAGCTAGCTGGCTTGCTCTGGAATCTCCTGTCCCCACCTACCTAGTGTTGGATTCAGGGTAGTTGCTCTCTGTGATCAGTGTTTACAGATGCGCTGGGATGCAAAGTTCTGTCCTCACACTTATGGGACAAGCAATGTACCCACTGAACCATCTCCGGAAAAGTTTTATATAAGGAAACCCTACTCTATCTAAAAACAAACAAACAAAAAACCAAAACCAGTTATGTTCCCATGTAACCATTTCCCTCTTTTATTCCAATATCTATTGGTTAGCATCCCTTAGATTTCAAAGCCACAAAAATGTTATGAAGGAAGCAATGGGTTTTTTAAATCTAGCATCTAATTATTACTATAGTAGACAAAATTTAAGAGGTTATCTTTAAGCTTGGAATTAAATGGTTTTTTTTTCTAAAATTTGACTTTTTTCCCCTTAGCAGATTTTATGGAAAGCTATCAAATCATTAAAAATTATATTAAACTATGTATTCTAGCAGGCTCTTTATCTTTAGAGTGGGAGTTGGATCCGATTTCCCTTAAATTCTGTTACTTTCTTTTTTTCAAAATTTGACTTTTCTCCTAAGAAGCAACTTGTTGAAATTGACTTTTTGGTTGGATATTTGTAATATCCATTAAGTTGACTGTATGTTGATTCAACTACTGCCTTGTCATTAACACTGCTAATATACATTATCTTAGTAGTTGTTAAACCCATTTTGGAAATGAAACCAGGTCCCAAAGTGTCTATGTGACTGAACCAAGATGCACAGCTGGTTACTCAGCAGAGCTTGTTCCTAGACCAGCCTTTGAACTTCCGAGTCTCAACCAGACACTCTCTGCCCAAAGCTCTAATGACTGCTCATATTCCTTCAGGCCGATGATGAAAATCAACTTTCGTTTCATGGCGTGGCGTACGTCAACATGGTCCCACTCCTGTATCCAGGGGTGAAGAGGATAAGAGGGGCTTTTCATGTTTACCCCTACCTGGACAGTACAGTCTTTGAAAAGGTAAGAAGACATTGCACAAAGAGTATCATCTTAATGCTTCCTCCATATATGTGTTTTCTTATACCTTTGTAGTTGACATCTAGAAGCAATCAGTATATGGCATTCACCACTGCATTCTGTAAAGATAGTTCCTCTGCTTAAGGCTGAGAGAAGCCTTTGTCTTTGGGGATAAACAGCCTTGTTTATAAGCCATTTTGGTGCTGTGTCAATTTAGCTACTCCAGTTGGGATCTACAACCTGCAAGCACTGGTTATTAACTGTGTTTGTAATAGTAGACATAGTTTCTTGTCTGTAGCTCAGGCTGTTCTTGAAACTGAAACCTTCCTGCCTCTGTCTTCCAGTTGATGGGATTATAGGAGACCCAAAGAGACATTTGATCTTTTTTTTTTTTTTTTTGTAGTTTTATATTCCCCTCCCAAATGTTTTTGAGTGTGGATTTTTGTCTTTCAAGGCAGAGTCTTATTGTGTATCCCTGGCTGGCCTAGAATTCACTCAGTGAACCAGGCTTGCCTGGAACTTGCTTTGTAAACCAGGCTGGCCTCAGAGATTGACCTGCCTCTGCCTCCCAAGTGCTGGAATTAAAAGTGTGCACCACCATGTTAGGCCTGAACATGGACTTTTTATCAGAGGGTAGAGGCACTTGCAGGCAGGCCTGACAACCTGAGTTTGATCCCTACATCCCATAAAGTGTCAGGGAGTCACATTATCCTAAGAGTTATCTGCTGACCTCCATAACATATAACATATAACATATGTGCACATATGCATATAGACAAATACAATTAATAAAATGTAAGTTATTTGTTTGTCTTTTAATTATATTTTTATTAGTTAAAGTTGTCTTTAAATTTAAATATACTTGGTCATAGTCTTCCCCTCTCCCAAGTCCTTCCAGATCTCCCTGACCCTACCCACCAAACTTTAAGGTTTTTTTTTTCTCAAAAAAAAAAACCCAATAAAACAACAAAATCCCCCAAACCAAAAAAAAACCCACCAAGACAAGACAAAAAAACAAAACAAAAAACAAAAAAACACAAAACCAAACTGTAACCAAATAAAAGCACACAAAAAAAAGAAACAATGGAGTCCATTCTTTGTAGGCCAACTACTGAATATGAGGAGTGGGTGATAGTGGAGAAGACTGATTTTTCCCTCTCCCAGTAGGTATAAATGACAGTTCAGTTTTATTTATTTATTTCAGTTTATTACCTTTTTGGCTAGGTTTTCATTCATTGATTTACTCATTCAGTCCTTTTATAAAATATAATAAGATGAAACAAAAACTATCACTGGGCATTGGTGGCACACACCTTTAATCCCAGCTCTTGGGAGGCAGAGACAGGCAGATCTCTGTGAGTTCGAGGCCAGCCTGGTCTACAGAGTGAGTGCCAGGACAGGCTCCAAAACAATACAGAGAAACCCTGTCTCAAAAAAAAAAAAAGAAAAGAAAAGAAAAGAAACAAAAACTGTCATGTCAAAGTTGAACAGAACAAACTAACAGAAGGAAAAGAGCCCAAGAGAAGGCACAAGAATCAGAGACCCACTCACATATGAACTAGAAGCTATAATACATATGCAGAGGACCTGGTGTGCCTGCTGCTTCAGTCTCTGTGAGTTCATATGAACTCTGCTCAGTTGATATAGAGAGAGGGCATTGTTTTCTTGGTGGCCTCCTTTCCCTCTAGCTCTTATATTCTTTCTGCCTCCTCTTCTACTGGGTTGCCTGAGCTCTGAGGGGAAAGATTTCTGTGTAATATCTGGCTGTGGGTTCCTGTATTTGTTCCCCCTTGCTGCAGGAGGAATCTTCTCTGATGATGGCTGAGCAAGGCATTGATCCATGAGTGTATCAGAATGTCATTAGAAGTACTTTTTCACTATTTTTTTGGTTTTTTTTTTTTGTTTTTCTGTTTTTAGACTAATATTATTTGGTCCTACTCTAGTCTCTGATTCTTGTCACCCGAGCAGCATCAGGTATGGATTTCATCTTAGGGAGTGGGCCTTATGTCCAGTCAGTATTGGTTAGTTACTCTCATATGCTTTCTGCCACCATTGCCCAGCATATCTTGGAGGCTTTACACCATTGTAGATCAATGGGTTTGTGTCTGGCAATAAAATGTAATTTTTTGAGACAGGGTTTCTCTGTATAGCCCCAGCAAATTTAAATTATGTTTAGTGATCACCAGGTCCTTTGCATATGTGTTATGGCTGTTAGCTTGGGGTTTTGTGGGAATGGTGAATCTTTGACTGTTTTGCCTGCTCGTGGGACTCTTTTCCTCCTGTTGGGTTGCTTTGTTCAGCCTTGATATTTTGCCTTGTCTTATCATATCTTGCTTTGTCCTGCTTGATTGTTGTGTCTGGGAGGCCTGCTCTTTTCTGAAGGGGAAATTGAGAGGAAGTGGGTCTGGGAGAGAGATGAAATGTTGGGAGGAGTGGAGGGAGAGGAAACCTTGTTAGGGGTGTATTGTATGAAGAAAAACACCTGTTATTATTATTATTATTTATTATTTACATAATAAATTTTTATTATTAAAGTTTTAGGGGTTATTTTCCCCTAGAAAACATGGCAAAAAATCAACTGCAGTTTGAATCATGCAAAGGTTTTATTGTGAACTTTAAACTTGCCTTATTCTTCCAGTTATAATTGGTAAGTGAATAGTAATTAGACAAATATTGTCTCTTGTATATAAATGAATTATTTTACTTGAAGTAATTCAGAATTATGTGTCAAAGATGAAAATCTTTCTGATGACAAGAATTATGACATCAAAACCAAGTACAGCTGGGATGTCTCCTCCTAGCACTTTAAGTAACAGGGAGGCAGCTAATTGTCAGTGGTGATATTTTGTGTTCTACAAGTGAAGAATGCACTGAGGTTCTTCAGGTCTCTAATCTGGATGCTGAAATGATCTGGAGAAAATGACCCCCTTGAGTGGCCCCATTTACCTATGGAGAAAATGACCTCTTTGGGTGGTCCCATTTACCTATGGAGAAAATTACCCCCTTGGGTGGTCCCATTTACCTATGTTTTTGTTCTTTTTCTTCTTTTCAGACCAAATGTTTGTTCAGCTTATTCAGGGACACTGGACACCATCTGGCTCACAATAATAAAGCAGGAGGTCTTAACTCCCCACTGTCCAAACCTGTTTCCAAGAATTTGAAAGAAGAAAAACAACCAGTGAAAGACAAGGAGATAGATGGACGGATTCGGCCTGGGGATTTGGTAGGCTCTTGAAACCATATGTAGATGCTTGCATTCATTTCCCACTTGGTGAGCTGTATTGGTGTATTTTTAATGTACCTACTATGATAAAGGCCATGAGAGAATCCAAGTTTCATGTTTCTTTTTGTTTCAGCAAGCACCTAGCATAAAATCCCAGAGCTCAGATACTCCTTTGGAAGGCGAAGCCCCTCTAAGCCACAATCTAGAAGGACAGGTAACTATGCTCAACATTTTAGAAATGGAATTTAGTTTCACCAGACCTTCACTGAGCAAGACAGCTTTAGTGAAAAATGCTGGAGATGGGACCTGAGTCACCTTGAGTATTTGCTTGTGACTAGCCAATGACCTTGGGCAAGTTTGTTCACTGAGACCTTAAAGTAAGTTGGTACCAGGTTGTAGCTAAGGTCCTTTCCAGAATTAAATGTTTATCTTTCATTAAGTCTGCATTAAGCACCATAACGGATGCAAAGATGTGTCACTGGCAACATTTGCCCACCTACCCTCAAGACACCCTGCTCTGTGCAGACTGCTGCCTTTCTAACTCTAACCCAGAACTTAGGCTGCCATAACAGAAGCACTAGTGGGAGTTCTTGCCAGTCTCAGAGGAGATGGCAGTTAGGATGGAGTAGTCCCAGGGAAATTTTCACAGAAAAGGTGAACCAAAAACAGGAAAAGACAGCCATTGCCCAGTGAAAATAGAGAGAGAGGTATTCCACGGTCAGAGAGCAGCTTAAGTCAAAACACAGAGAAAAATTATATGAATCAATTCAGGGTAGGATACAGAGGTATGGAAAATGGTCCCAGAGCAATAGTTCTCAAATGGTGGGTCACGACCCCCAATGACCATCAGAAAACATAGATATTTTCATTACAATTCATAACAGTAACAAATTACAGTTATGAAGTAACAACAAAAATAAATTTTACGGTTGGGGGTGGGTCACTACAACATGAGGAACTGCATTAAAGGGTCTCAACATTAGTAGAGTTGAGAACTACTATAGAGAGGAGTGACAGGTAGGGAAAGACAGCCTGGAGAACCTAAAAGGCTTGCTGTGGTGCTTAGGTTTCATTCTGCGGGAGACTCTTGAACTCCATCTCGCCCCCTTTCTGAGCTGGGCATTGGATACAAGATCCCATGAGTGCTCAGTAAACCCTCTTCATTCCCTATGCCAAAGGTTTTGACTCACAGAAATTTTGATTCTGTTGAATTAGAAATTGTGTTGCAAGCCAGACTATTACTACTACTACTTCCTTCTTCCTTCTTTTTTCTTCCTTCTTCCTTATTTTATTTTTTTTTTCTGGTGTTTCAAGACAGGGTTTCTCTGTGTAGGCCTGGCTGTCCTGGAGCTCACTCTATAAAGTAGTCTGGACTCAAACCCTCAGATAGCCACTTGCCTCTACCTCCCAAGTGCTGGGACTTCTTGTCTGGGTCTCAGACAGAAGGTGGGGAGGGACTGTGGCTCTCTCTTATACCTCATTTGTACACTGATGCCAGTTTGATTTCGGGAAGTGGTTGAAGGAAAGGAAGTCAGTGGCCTGCAGAAGCAGTGTGTTGAGAAGTTTGTGGGGACAGGGAGATTGATGAAGAAAAGTCAAAGACAACTGAGGTTTCAGGTGTTACTTTGTGGAAGGTTGACATCGTTAAGAGAAATCTCCAAAAGAAGCATCAATACGACAGAGAGTTATATTTAGGATGCTGGTAAAAATAAGTCTGGGTAGACATGTTCAGCAGTCAGAGTTGGTAAGTAAGAGTTGGATGGTAAGAAGACTGTGTGTGAAGATACAAAGATTTGAAAACAAAACTTCTACATGAGAAGGCTGCTGGAGGAAAAAGCGACATGCATGTAAAATAGTTCCAAGACAAATATGAATGAGTTTGCCAGGCATGGTAGTCCATGTCTTTAATACCAGCACTGGAAAGGCAAGAGGATCTCTGTGAATTCTAGATCCTGGTCCACACAGACAGTGACAGGCCAACCAGAGCTACAAAGGGAAATCTTGTCTCAAAAAAGAAAAATAAGTAAAAAAAAATGTAAAAATAGAGCTGGAGAGATGGCTCAGAGGTTAAGAACACTGGCCACTCTTCCATAGGTCCTGAGTTCAATTCCCAGCAACCACATGGTGGCTCACAATTATCTATAATGAGATCTGGTGCCTTCTTCTGATGGGTGCACAAGCACCCATGCAGGTAAAACATTGTATACATAATAAATAAATAAACTTTTTTTAAAGTAAGTTCAACAGAATCCACTGAAGTGGAAATCTCCAAGGCTAGACATGGAAACACTCTTCCATGAGCTAACTAACCCCTATTGCTATATTCCTTTCAAATTATTATCCCATGTAAAAATATTTGAATCATAGAAATCACACTTTACATGCAGTTTATGCACATATTTTCCCTCTGGTAAGTAGTACCTGATATTATTTAAAATGTTTCATTATTGTCTTTTTACAAGATTACCAAATAACCAAAAACAAAAAAAAATGTCTTTGCAGCAATATTTAGAAGCGGGGACATACATTGTCTTGGAGATCCAACTGGACAAAGCCTTGGTTCCAAAGCGAATGCCAGAGGAACTGGCCAGAAGGTGTGGGACACTTACTCCATTTGGCACAGTTTAGAAATGAAGAAGAGTCACTGGGTTTGTCCCAACAAATGTATTTCCCGTGTCCTAAGCAGAGGACCTGAATTTAGTTCCCAGCACCATATCAGGCATCTCACAGTCACTTGTATCTACAGCTGTAAGAGATCCAATACCTTCTTTGGGCTCTACAGGCACTTGCATTTGTTGGTTTTTGTTGTTATTTTTGTTTTGGTTTGGTTTGATTGTTTGTTTTCTGTCCATAAGGAGTACAATCAAGTCACTGCCTTGTGGGCTTTCTCTTCTTTTCTTTTTCTTCCTTTCTTCCTTTTTTTTTTTTTTTTTTTTTTTTTGGTGGGCTTCCTTCTGGTTTGTTCTGTCTTATTTTAAGACTGAGTTTCATGTATCCTTGGGCAGCCTTGGACATGTGATCCTCCTGTCTCCACTTCCTCAATTACAGTTGTGTGTCACCAAACCTGGTTTTATGTTGTGTTAGTGATCAAACTTAGGGCTTTTGGCATACTAGGCAAACATTATACCAATTTTGCTATGTCCCCAGCCCCTTTCTTCCCTTTTAGTGTACCTATCTAGAAATAGAAGTTCTCCTCTGGGGACTGTATTCACTACAGCCCATAAATTGTGGAATATTGTCCTCTTGTTTTCATTAGATTGTGTAGGTATGTACCTGTATGTTTGTGCTGTATACTCCTGTATGCACACATATGTATAGGTATATTCATCCATGTGCTCATTTGTGCTGTGTATGTGTGTGTGTGTGCATGTATGGGTTTGCACTGAATACTCATGTATGCACACATGTATGCACTTATTCATGTGTTCATGTGTGCTGGATGTGTGTGTGTGTGTGTGCATATATGGGTTTGCACTGAATACTCATGTGTGCACACATGTGTATTTGTATATGTCCATGTTATATTGTAGAGGTGTATATGTGTGTGTTTGTGCTGTATACTTCTGTGTGTCTATGTGCACTCACTTGTGTATGTGTGTGTGGCAGCCAGAGGGCAGTATCAGCTGTCCTTCTCAACCATGCTTACCTTACCTTTAAACTTTATGGCCTAGGTGTTCTGCCCTTGCTTCTTCAGTCCAACCAAACTAATATCTTTTCTATTCCTCACATGTGAGGCTCATTTTTTTTTTGGTTGTTGTTTGTTTTGTTTTTGAGACAGGATCTCATTATGTAGCCCTGGCTATCCTGAACTCACTAAGTAAACCAGTCTGGGCTTGAACTCACAGTGCTGAGTTCTGGGATTAAAGACATTCACCAAGCATGAAGCTCAGGTTTGCAGCAAGCTCTTCACACTGGCTGCTTTTATGCCTGAAATTTCCTTGTCATGAATATCACAAGACTTTCCCTCGGGCCTTTGCCGGGAAAGCATCATCTCAATGAGGCCTTTGCTGGTAAAGTGTGCTCTCCTGTTCCACCAGCCTGGGCCCCAACAAAGTTCTGCCTCCCAGCAGCATCTCCCATGGCACACATTTCTACTGTATTTATCTCAGTGGTCTTCTTTTCCTACCAGAAAGCAGGCTCCATGAGAGCAAGGATCTTTGTGTTGTTTAGCTCCATCTCCATGCCTAGAAAGGCATTGATGGACATAGAAACTCACCATATTTTGAATGAATTGATAAGATCATCTTTGGAGCAGAAACTAGGAGGTTGACAGCAAAGCAAAAAGGAGATGCTTTGCTACACAGTATTCCATGTCTTTAAATTTTCAGTTATATAGATATATTGCCTATTAAGATAAATAGAATTAAAATTAGTAATCATTAACAGTCCTGTACAATTATTTAAATCATATTAAAGAAAAGTTCCACAATTGAAGATCTCAAGGCAGTACAATATGGTTTGACAGGAATCTGAAACTAGAAAGGGCCAGAGCTCAGGCATATTCTGATTTGTCCTTTGTAGGTTCCATCTTCTGTTTTATTGTATTTGTTTTTGTTGGCTCAAGAAGCCCACACTGGCCTCAAACTTGCTATGTCACTAAGCTAACTTTAAACCCCAGGTCCTCCTGCTTCCATGTGCCAAATGCTAGCATCACAGGCGTACATCCCCAAACCCAGCTCTATAAAGGGAAGGTAGGCATTTTGGCATGTGTTGCTTTATAGTGAAATGCTATAGAGAGACGGAGCTGGAGACACCACTTGGTGACTAAGAGCACTGGCTGCTCTTTCAGAGGACCTGAGTTTGCTTCCCAGTATCCACACAGTGGCTCATAACTGCTCTTAATTCCAGTTCTAGGAGAGCCAGTGTCCTCCTCTGGCCTCTTTAGATACTAGGCAAGCACACAATGCATATTTATAATTGCAGGCACAACACTCATGCACATAGAATAAAAACAAGTAAACCTTTATGCATTTATTTATTTTGGTTTTTTGAGGCAGGGTTTCCTCTGTGTAGCCCTGGCTGTCCTGGAACTCACTGTAGACCAGGCTGGCCTTGAACTCACAGAGATCCCATTGCCTCTGTTTCCCATGTGGGATTAAAGGAGTATGCTTCAACAGCCAGGCTCAAAACAAATATATATAACTATACATATTTGATATCATTATTTATTATTTATTAAATTACAATTTAATAATGTAGTTGTATACATTAGTATTAAGAACACACTTTTCAGGGCTGGGAAGATGGCTTAGCAGTTAGGAACACTGGCTGTTCTTCCAGAGGTCCTGACTTCAATTTCCAGGAACACATGGTGGCTCACAGCCATCTATAGTGGAACCTGATTCTTTCTTCTGGCATAAAGGTGTACATGCAGATAGAACTCATATACATGAAATAACTAAATAAAAAAAAGAACATACTAGGGCAGTGGTGGTGCAAGCCTTTAACCCCAGCACTTGGGAGGCAGAGGCAGGTGGATCTCTGTGAGTTTGAGGCCAGCCTGGTCTACATAGCAAGTTCCAGGACAGGCTCTAGAGCAATACAGAGAAACCCTGTCTCAAAAAAGTCCATGCCTTTCATTCTAGGTGGAAAGGAAACTTTTAACTTTCCAAATCTGTGTCCTTTCAGAAACACCAACAGATATGATACCCATTATTTCCCAACACTTAGTCCAGAGGCTGTTTAACAATACTTTAAAAAAAATGTGAGGCTAATGCCAGAAGCACAGTCTTCTATACTGTTCAAGGGTTCAGATCTAGGGTTTTATATGAGAGAGCAGAACAATGCTCAAGTGTAGCAGCGAGGCCAATTTCAGATCTCCTTTATACAGACTCTGGGGAAATAAGAAAGAACACAGGCCTGCAGATAATAAAGATTTTGTTGTTTTGTTGCTTTTTGCTGATACAGGGTCAAGGAAATGATACCTCCAAGGCCACCTCTCACCCGACGGACAGGAGGAGCTCAGAAGGCAGGTGTTAATGCCAGGACCATGCTGAGGTGTCTGAAGGCAGCATGAGCTCTTCAATGGCTTCTATGAGGAGGGGGAAGCCTCTTTGGTATCTCACAGACTTTCATTCAGTTCCATTTGTGATCCATGAATTGCATACAGTGTGTAATCTGGCTCAGTGGAAAAGGATAGTTTATAGAGCCGATGTGGTAATTTCTAACCCATGATCTGGGTATCTTTGAGGCCTGTTTACTAACCATTCATTTTTCCCCCAGGCAGTGAGTGACTACCACACACAGATCAAGAGCATTTCCAGAGCCATTCTGGATGAATACCACCGGATGTTTGGAAAGCAAGTGGCCAAGGTGGGAAGTGATGTGGACAGTGAGACGTTGGAGGAACAGAAGTGCCAACTCAATTATGAGCTCAATTGCTCCGGAAAGTACTTTGCTTTCAAAGAACAGCTCAAGGTGAGATGTGCATTTCTCTCATGGTTTGACAGTCTGCGGAGCCCCTTCTGTACACGTGTTCTGTAGTCTTTGCTCTGATTCTTCTTGCTTGAGCTCTCTGGGAGAGATGTGAGAAAATGATCCATGTCTAAAGTCTTGGGATGGTGCAGTGTTTACTCCAAATGAGAACTTGTAAGACCTAACCTTCACTTGAGGCTATCAGACTTCACCCTCCACCAGCTAGCAGACAATATGTTCTTGACACTAATTCTCCTTATCTTTAAGTCTCCTTGTGTGCAGAATTAAGAATTGAGAGCTGGTGATGCACACCTGTAATCTCAGCTGAATCCCAGGTGAATCGGGAGTTCAAGGCCAGCCTTGGCTACGTAACAAGTTTGAGGCCAGTCTGGGCTATGATGAGGCCTTGTCCAAACAAACAAACAAAAACCTAAAAGCTTTTTTAAAAACCTAAAAGTCTATTAAAATAGTACATTAAATAATAATGACTAGTATTCATTTTTAAATCATTTTTTTTTAGTTTTGGAGATGGGTTATATTTTGAGCAACAAGAGAAAATAATATTATCACAAGGGGTTATTATTGGTATTAATATAATGAAGGTATTTAATATATAATCTGACTTAGAGAGAGAGAAAAAAAACAGTAGCTGTATATTGTTCCCCTCACTGTCTGCAATGTGTATGTTCTGAGATCCCCATTAGGTGCTCAGAACTGTGGGTAAGGGGCTGAGGAGATAGGTCAGCAGTTAAGAACACTGGTTTCTCTTCCAGAGGACCCATATTTGGTTCCCAGCACCCACATGGAGGCTCATAGCCATCTGTAATTCCAGTCTCAGGGAATCTGATATCCTCTTCTGGCCTCTGTGGGCACCAGGCACACATGCAGGCTGAACACCCATACACATAAAAATATAAGTAAGTAGATATTTTAAGACTCCCATCACTCAGGAGGCAGAGGAAGGCAGATCTCTGTGAGTTCGAGGCCAGGCTGGTCTACAGAGCAAGTTCCAGGACAGGTTCAAAAAAACCACAGAGAAACCCTGTCTCGAAAAACAAAACAGAACAAAAACTGTGGATAATACTGAAACTTGTATATTTTTCCTACACATATGATCCTATGGGTTTTTTTCACTAAAGGAAACACTGATAGATTCTCTGGTGTATCCACACTGCTGGCATCACTCGCCACTGCTGCTTTGGTGGCTTTATGAAGTTCATAAGAGCTGTTGAACATTGGTGCTATGGTACAACATGTCTACTGAGTGCTTAGGATGTGGGTACCCACTACTGTATGGAATGCTGGGTAGGGGCTGCTTCAGATCCAAGAAGCTGGATATAGTGTGAGACTTCTGCATCTACCCAGGACAGTGCTCAATTTAAAGTTTGTTTCTGGAATTTTCCACTTGTTTTCAAACTGGAATTGAGCATGGATACCTGAAACTGTGGGTAAGGAAAGACTGCTGTCATTTATGTAACCTTGGCTGCCTCGAATTATGGCTCCCTCCTGTCTTTGCCACCCCCAAGTTGGCTTTACAGACCTGTGCCACCACAGACAGCTTTCTGTAGCATTTCAAACTTCTGCTTCTGTCTACTCTGTTCAGCTTCTCAACTACCATCTAAAGTATAGTGGCAATACTGAAACTATGTATTCACTTAGCAAAGGAGGAAGCTAAGGCACCAAATAGAACATAGGAGGTTGTACAATGACCATCTTTAATTCCATTCTCAAGCCATTCAGACCTGAGTTTCCCCTTCTCCCCTATACCACATAGCTGCTGAGAAAGCCACAACTCTCAAAGCTACTCCAAAGTTTGTTTCCATCTCCAGGACCCGCTTCACATGGTATGTACTGCCTTACCCCTATTAGTGGTGTTGCAGAATCAAGAAAAGCCTTTTGGGCTGCAGAGATGGCTCAGTGGTTAACTGCACTGGCTGTTCTTCCAGAGGTCCTGAGTTCAATTCCCAGCAAACACATAGTGGCTCACAACCATTTGTAATGAGATCTTGTGCCCTCTTCTAGATTCTTTTAAAAAAGAAAAGACTTTCTTACCACCCAGGCACTTGGGAGATAGAGGCCAGAGATGTGAGTTGAGCAGCACTATGGGCTACATAGTGTGTTCTGGGCCAGCCTGGGCTACATAGTAAGACTCTGTCTTTAAATAAATAAATCCATTGAGGACATGTTGACTGGGGAGCTGTTAGTTAACAGGGTAGAAAGTGACTGTCACTGGATGCTCTGTGGCCTGGTGTCAGAAGCCCCAGATATCTGGGCATCAGTACACTGCTGAACTGTGACATCAGAAGGGAATGTTTGTGTCTTGCAGCATGCGGTGGTAAAGATTGTGAGAGAGAAATACTTGAAGACAACAGCATTTGAAAGCCAAGAGGAACTGCAGACATTTATCAGTGAGCTTTATGTGTTCTTGGTAGATCAAATGCATGTGGCCCTAAACCAGGTAGGTGTTTACAGCTCAGAGCCCACTCCTCTTGGAAAACAGCTGGGCTTCTTTTGAAAAACACCCCCCTTCTTGGCTTATTTTCTTTCCTTATTCAGCAAATGCTGATGAAATAGGATGTTCTGTACAAGGTACTGATCAAACATTTGGAGGAAAAGGGACATGCTCTTTCACTTTCCCAGAAAAACTGGTTCTCTGGCCTTCAAAAATGTTATATGGGACTGGAGAGATAACTCAGTAGTTAAGAATACCAGGTGCTGTTCCGGAGGACACAAGTTTGAGTCCCAGCACCCACATGGTAGTTCACAACTGTCACTATAAATCCCCTGTACCTAAACCCTCAGCTAGCCTCAGACACAGACATACAGGTGCCAAAATAAGCATGCACATAAATAAAAGTTTTTTTTTTCATGTGGCAGAATTCTTAAAGCCATGGAAAATGTAAAACAAAACAATTATATTGTTAATGTATACAAGTCTTAATTTTTTTCAGGATAATGAAAGGCAGGAAAAACTATGTTTATCTTAAAAGTTAGGTTTAAAATGCTATGTGAAGATGACAATAGCAATTAAAAATGCCTTTAAATTTTTTAATTACATTTTTATTTAATTTGTATGTGTATTGCCATGTCCCACATGTTGAGGTCCCACCTGCCACCATGTGAGTCCAGGAACCGAATTCAGATCGTCAGGATTAGCAGCAGCCATACATTTTAGTGACTGGTGATCTTTCTCCCACTCCTCTGTTTGTGCCTATCTTTGTATAGCTTGCTTCTTGCCTGCTTGTATGTAACTCTGCATATAGTTAGTTGTTACTCAATGTGAACGGTGACAAAAATCAAATCTTATTGTATGTTGGAGAGTCAGTCTCTGGCCAGCTGTGCCACTTCACAGCCTCTGTCCTGGTTTCTCTTTCTTCACTGCTTGTCTTTCCTTTCACATGCTTCAGTCTTCTTGGAATAGGTAAGACAGGAAAATCCAGTAGTATAGGGTTAAAAGAACAGTCCTGCTTAGACACAGACAAGGGTGATATGTGCGTAGGATTTGTTTGGAAAATTCTTGACAGTTGACATAAGATTGGATTTGTTGTTGCCTTCTGTCCCCAGGAAACCTTTGTCTAGGAGAGGAGACAAGTATGAGACACAAATGCTGTAAGCTCTCTGACAGAGGCATAGCTCTACAGAGCAAAACTGGGCTCTGTGTGATTCAGGGACCTTTCAGGGAAGGCTTCATGAAAGAGCTGTGGCTTAAACTGGGCTTTCAGAGCTGCAGACATCTCCAGGTGGCTCCAGAGCATTGAGCCAACAGGTCCATCGCAGGGCTTAGGATACAAAGAAACATCAGAGTTCAGGAGCAGAGAGCGAAGTTGGAGAAGCAGGATTTGAAGCTGGGTTCCCATTCCTGATGAGGGTTTTGGGTTATAGAGAGGAAGGCCTTGATTGCCACACAAAGAAAATTTGCAAGGTCAGAGGAATGGCTCAGTAACAGTTAAGAGCACTGGATGCTCTTCCAGAGGACTGGGGTTCAATTCCCAACACCCACATGGTGGCTCACAACCACTTGTCATTCCAGTTCTTAAGGATCTGATGCCCTCTTCTGGCTTTCACAGGCTCCATGCATGCACCTGTTATACAGACATTAGCAGCCAAAACTCCCATACACATAAAATAATTTTTAATTTGAAAATTTTCCTATTTCCAATTAACAGGAACAGTGAATTGAATTACTCATACTGGGATATAGTTTGATTAGGTTAATATTATACAGAAAAGTACTCTCCTAGCAGTTCAGAGACTAGATTCATGGTGACTTTGGTAATATTGTCAAGGATTCTTTTTTTCTGAAACTCACTCAGTGGACCAAGTCTTGATCTCCTGAGTCTGTCTCCTGAGTGCTGGGTTTAAAGACATGAACCACTACTGTCCAGCAAGGACTTTTCTGTTTCTCTGGTATTTCAAGATGGTGTGTGTGTGTGTGTGTGTGTGTGTGTGTGTGTGTGTGTGTGTGTGTGTGTGTGTGTGAAAGGAGTCCTTGCTGTCATGGAACTCACTCTCTAGACCAGGCTGACTTCAAACTCACAGAGATCTACCTGCCTCTGCCTCCCAAGTGTTGCAATTAAAGGTGTGCACCACCATTGCCTGGCTCTGAAGTATTCTTTAAGATTCATTTATTTTATGTGTATTCTTGCTTTGCCTGCACGAATGTATAGGCACTATGTGCATGCAGTGCCCAGGCAGGCTAAAAGAGCATAACTGAGCTGCAACCAAGTGGATACTGAGAAGTGAACCCAGATCCTCTGCAAGAACAGCCAGTGGGAGTGCTTTTAACCTCTGAGCCATCTCTCCAGCCCTGAGTCAAATGTTTTTTGTGTTCGTGTATTTGTTTGTTTTTGAGACAGAGTTTCTCTGTATTGTTTTGGAGCCTGTCCTGGAACTTGCTCTGTAGACCAGGCTGGCCTCGAACTCACAGAGATCTGCCTGCCTCTGCCTCCCGAGTGCTGGGATTAAAGGTGTGTGCCACCAATACCTGGCCTGAGTCAAATGTTTTTAAGTTTAAGGCTCAATAACTTAGCTGTTAGCGGTCAAGGAACACAAGGCATAAGTAGATCTGGGGGTGCAGATGACACTGGATCTAGTCTTGACCATTAGACCCAGTGGATCTTTGCTTCAGAGAGAGCAATCTGAGCTAGACATGAAGTTTGAGGAGTCACGTAGCCAGAGACAAGACTGCCTGAAATGAAAGACAGGGAACTCTGGCATAGTCTCCTAGGAAATGCCAGGAAGCATGGATGAGTGGAAGGTGTGACAATAGTGGCTGTTAAGTAAACAGAAGAGTGTGAAGTTGCTGGAGCCAAGGAGAAAGAATTAAAAAGAAACAGATCTCCATTTTCCAATACCTAGGAACTTAAGAAAAACAACCCTGGGGAATTTTCAATGGATTTGGTGATAAGGAAGTTATTGGTAAACTTTACAAGGGAAATTCACTTACACTGGGAAAATTAAAACTAAAATTAATTGAGGAGTAAATATGTTGGTAGGAAATAATTTGCATTCAAGAAGTTGGACCATGAGGGACAAAGGAAAATAGAATCTAGAAATTATGAGGCTGCCCTCTTCAAGGCAAGTGTGTATGCAGTTTTGGTATATAACGTGAGCAAAGGAGCAAAGTCCAGCACCCAAGCTGAGTGAGGCTGGAGGGTAGCCATGAGATGGAGGCTTCATAGAGAGTTTTAGACTTACCTAGGCTACACTGTGAATTTCAGACTATCATGGGCTATCATATGAGAACATGTCTCAAAGAAAAGCAAGTAAATGGAGGGAAATGCTGTTAGGAAGTCTCTGGTATATACCTGTGAAAGATCTAAGGTTTGAAGCAGAAGGGTTAGACGTGAAAAGGAGAAAGCCCTGGATGACCTTCTCTGAGACCAAAAGGACAGAGCCACAGATGGAGACAGCTTAGCTTGGGAGTTGAGATTTTAGGCTGGAGATATAGCTCAGTGGTAGAGCATTTGCTTGGCATGTGTAAGGTCACAGGTTCACTCTCCAATACCTTAAAGAAATTGAGGATTGCTTATCTAATGACTTCTCTTTTCCTTTCTTCCTTTTGAGAATGTTTTGCATAATCCAGGCTAGTCCTGAACTTTCTATATAGCCAAGGATGACCTTGAACTAATGGTTCTGTCCTCACCTCTCAAGTGAAATAGCCCCTTAGTGAAATGATGAGACCTGACCTGGTAACTACGAGCATGAAATACCAGTTACTCAGGAGGCTGCGGCAGGAGAATTGAAGGTTAAAAACCTGCATGGTCTCCAGAGTGCATTCAAGACAAGTGTAGTCCTTCACTCATACATGAGTGCACATGCATGTGCATGCACACACATACACACTTCAGTCTCACTTATATGCTATGACTGGATCTCACATCCAGTTTGTTCTCATAAGCCTTTCCACATATAATTGTTTTGTTTGGTTTGTTTACCATCTCAATGACAAGTCCATGCCTGATGACACCCAAGGCACTGCCTCAACGATCCACACCAGCAGTGAACAACTTCGACTCTTCGCGTTTGAGGCAGAAGTCAATGAGAACTATGAAATGGCAGCAGTGTATTATGAAGAGGTAGCTAACATCTCAGTGATGATTGTTGTGAATCTATGTAAAATTGTAATTTTCTACTAACAGCAAACCTGACCAGTGAAAGGATAGACACAGATCAGTAGGACAGTGTAAGGAGTAAGATTTTTCCTCCCACCGCTGGTCTAGCCCCGCCGCTGCGCCAGCCCCAATTAACACACTGAGGCTCTGTATTTGATATAATGCTGTTGGCCAGGTACTAGTTTCTTATAAGCTAACTCTGTCTTAAGTATTAACCCATTTTTGTTGATCTATGTGTTTCCATGTGCTTTCATCTTACCGGAGAGCTGGCTGGTGTCCTGCTCTCTCCAACTCTCCATCTTGATTTCTCCTTACTACTTTCTCTTTCCTCCTTGTCTCCTAGTCCCTCCTATCTTTCTTTCCTATTGGCCAACAGTGCTTTATTCACTAACCAGTATGAGAAACATATATACAGAATGACATCTCCCATCATCTCCTCTTTTCTGTCTAAATAAAAAGAAGGATTTTAACCTTAACATAGCAAAATATATCACATAACAGTTATCGAATAAGAATCACAGTTAACAATATTTAGTCCATTAACATTTAGCAAGATTTGAAGAAAATATTCCATCATCTATCCTATCTTTGTGTGTCTAAAGTCTATGTAACTTATTTTTTTATCCTAACTAAGGAAAACTATAACCATAACTATTTGTCTTCAACCCCCTCAAAGGCCACAGAAGGATAATATATAAACTCTAGAAATGACAGAGATAACTCACTGCCTGGTCAGTCACCTGAAGTTCTTCTGTAATCTTCCATCTTCAGCCCATAGGCCATAGTGTGTCTGACAGACGCTTCAGCAAAGCAGGAATCTTTAAACTGTCTTCTTGTATTGGCAGTTTGTCAGTCATTTTTCTCTGCATCCTGCAGACTGTCTGGCAGACTCTTCCATGAAGCAGTGTCTGTAGCAATGTCCATCTTGAATCAGCAGTCACTTTCCTGTGGGTTCTGCATGAATTGTTTCAATAAATAACTAGAACAGTTGGCGATCCACATTCAAAATAAATGAACCTTGACCTGATTCTTTGCAAAAAATCAATGATAAATGGATACTTACTCTAAATGTAAAACATGTACCATTCAAAATAAAACATAGGAAGAAATCCTTGATCGGATCTTATGTAGAGAGTTCCTTGACAGGAGACCAAAGGACAGACAGAAGGTCATAGAGAAAAGTAGTGTCTGTCATCTCAACACTAGAAAGTAGAGGCAGGAGGACTGCTATAAATTGGAAGCCAGGTTGGGCTATGCAACAAGTTCCAGGCTAGCCAGGGCTACAAAAGTACAGATTAGGAAAAATAGAACATATATTTTTCAAACAACTTGTATCCAGAATTTAAGATTCCAATTGCAGCCAGGAGTAGTGGCACTCCTCTAATCCCAGGACTTGGGAAGAGGCAGATGAATCTCTGTGAGTTCAAGGCCAGCCTAGTCTATAGAGTGAGTTCCAGGACAGCCAGAGATATATAGTGAGATCCTATTTCTAAAAAAACAAAAACAGACTCAAAATGCAGCATTTTTGTAAAAGTGGTGTCTGTTTTAATTATTTTGGGTATACTTAAGAATGGAATTGTCAACTATATAGTGATTCACTTAAGAATGGAATTGCCAGCTATATAGTGATCCTATGTTTAATATTTAAAAATTTTCCACTGGGATTTTGACAGTGTTTGCCCTTCATCTGTAGATTGCTCTTGACAGCATCTTAACACCAAATCTCCCCATCCTAACCTGAACTTAGGGCATTCTTCTATTTACTTGTGTTTTCTTTCTATCCTTTAAGTAGTATTTATAGTTTTTATTTACATGAGGCATCCTTTTCCTTGGATTTATAGATGATTGTGTATATTTTCCACTTTAATATTATGACAATAATTATTAGTTGATGCAGCATAAAGTGAGTCCTTAATTCCTAAGGTATTGGTTAAGTGTAGGAATAAATCTCTTGAGGACTCACATTTTAAGTCATGTCAATACTTTTTGACTATATACTCAAAGCTAGAACAGTACTTGTGCTGGGCACCTGGGTTCTGTGTAAGCAAAAGAAAAGTGATGGTTTTGACTTTCATAATATATGGTATTTCAGTGGTATATGTACAAAAAGTAGGGCTTAGTGTCACAATAACCCTGTCCCTCCCTATACTTTGTGTATCTAGAGGTTGGTCCGTGAGCCTCAGAACCTGGATCACTGGCTGGATTATGGTGCCTTCTGCCTCCTCACGAAAGACATCACCAAAGCACAGGAGTGTTTCAGGAAAGCCCTTTCCCTGAATGAGAATCACATTCACAGGTAGAGGAGAAACTGGGATCAATGAGTAGGAGCAGATAAGCTGCAACATGAAATTGCAGAAGTTAAAGTGACATAGAACCAAATTGCTAACCAGGCTAGTGGGTTTCTCCTCAGTTTGTTGCTGTGTGGCGTCCTGGCTGTCTTAATGGAGAACTATGAGCAAGCAGAGATTTTCTTTGAGGATGCTACATGCTTGGAACCTACCAATGTTATTGCGTGGACTTTACTCGGTACACTGTAGCCCTTTGATGTGAATGTGGGCTTTCCTCCATCACAAGATTCTCATTTTCCCTATTTACCCTAGCGGCTGAAGATGTGGGGTCTGTTTGTTTTGGGGGGAGGGAAGGGAGAAGTTTGAGATGAGGTTTCTCTGTGTAGTCCTGGATGTCCTAGAACTCACTCTGTAGATCAGGCTGGCCTTGAACTTTCAGAAATCTGCCTGCCTTCCTATTCCTGGCATTAGAGGCCTATACCACCGCCATCCAGCTAAGATGTGGTTTTTAAACTCTAGTAAAAACAAATATGACAGACAGAAATGAAATGGGTCCATTCTTCACCTGTGATGGTGGGAGCTTAGCCCTTTATCTCAGCTTCTTTATTTCCTCAGGGTTGTTCTATGAAATTCAGAATAATGATATTCGAATGGAAATGGCATTTCATGAGGCCTTCAAACAGCTTCAGGCACGAACCCTCCAAACAAAGCTAAAGAGTGCTGGCACCATAGAGAATGTTGATGATGGAGTGAAAATAGAGCACAGTTTTGGCCCCTGGGGAGCCATACATGATTCTGCCTCAGCACTCAAATCAGAAGGCCTGACAGGTGGGAGCTGAGTGTGGGGATGGGAAGTGGCCATTGGAAACTTGCTGGCCTAAGAATAAGACCTGGTACAAAGTAGGTACCAAGTCAGTGTGCAATATCAGGAAAGATGCCAGGCTTATTAATAACTCATCATCTGGGAACTGGTCAGAAATATGTTGATGCTCGTTTTCATATAATACAGGGTTTACTCTCTTTATCAGTACCCTTTAAAAACTGATACTGTTCTGAATATTTTAAAATGTTTTTCTTTCTGCCCTTTTCTCCCAATCATGTAGTTCTTTTATTTATTTATTTATTTATTTATTTATTTATTTATTTATTTATTTATTTTGGTTTTTCAAGACAGGGATTCTCTGTGTGGCTTTGGAGCCTGTCCTGGAACTTGCTCTGTAGACCAGGGTGGCCTCGAACTCACAGAGATCCACCTGCCTCTGCCTCCCAAGTGCTGGGATTAAAGGTGTGTGCCACCAACTCCCAGTTCATGTAATTCTTAAATGTATTTATTTCCTCATTTCTTTTCCCCTATTCGCTATTCCTGTATATTTTTAAGATTTTTTTAGTTTTATTAATTTTATAAGTATATGTGTGTCTGTTTATCAGTGTGTACATCACATGCATGTAGGTATTCAGAGTTCAGAAGAGGGAGCCTGATGATCTGGAACTGGGGTTACAGACCACTGCCTGGGAGCTGACAGATATGGGTGCTGGGAACTAAACCTGGGTCTTCTTCAAGAGCAGCAAGGGATCCTAATCACTCAGCTATCTCTACAGCTACTTTTCATATATTTTAGGAAATCAGTTACTGTGAACTGTTTTTATATGTGTCTTTGCTTGTGCATTTCTTGCATACATGTATTGTTATTCTGTGTACCTACGAATTTTAAGGTGGCCTGAGGAAATTTAAGGTCAGTTTAGCAAGTATAGTGAAAATACCACCACAATCAAGATAATGACATGTGCTCATGCCCACTGTGCTGCTTTTCATCTGTCCCCATTTCTATATAACCTCTGACCTGCTGTCACTATAGAGGAATTTGCATTGAAATTTTTTTAAGTTACCTTTTATTTATTTATTTGGGTTGGGAGGCATATGTGCCCTGACACTTGTGTGGCAGTCAGAGGACAACCTTAAAGAGTCACTTCTTCCTGGTACAGACCTCAGCCTTGGTGGCAGACACCCTTATCTACTGAACCATATAACCAGCCCAAATTTGTTAGTTTTTAAGATTTAGAATTCTAGAAATATTCTAGAATTTTTTATTACTTCTAGAGTTAAATGGCATGTGCTTTTGGTCTGATGTTTTTACCAGTTTTAATTCTTTTGAAATCTAGCCCTGGTGCACTACTTCTATCAACTGCTTGGTTTTACTGCCACACTGCATAACAGTATATATAGAGAGAGCACTGTATGCCAATTCATTGCTTTGTGCTTGGTTGTTTCCATGTTGGGACTATTGAGCTAAAGCTACCAATGACATTAGGTTCTTATTTTTGCATGGATAGACTTTCATTTCTCTTCTGTAAACACCTAGGAATTCACTAGTTGAATTCACCAGTTTTTAATCAATGTGGTTTTTATTTTCTAAGTATTTGGAGGTTTTTCAAGATATGCTTGCTTGCTTTTTACTTACAATGTTATCTCATTGTGGCTGGAAAATAAACTTTCTCTAAGTTGAATCCTTCAAAAATACAATGTTCCACAGATGCAGATGTGGTTTTGTCAGCCAGTTTTGCTTCAGCTCTGTATCTTTGAAGTTTAGGTTTTACTTAGTAGCACAGGCTAGCCTTGAATTTGCTGTCATTCAGCCTCTATATCCCAAGTGCTTATTATAGGCAAAGGTCACTGTACCTGACTGTAGTTTTAGAATATTTTCCTCAGTTAACTTTATAACTTGCATTTAGATCTTGAGGGAGTCCATTATAAAATATTCTACTGGGTGGCCATTCCATTTGATTTTTATATATGGATATAGAATTCTCAGAAGTCTCTACTAACCTCATTATTTCCCCCTTAAAGGGGGAATATAGTCTTAAATTCTGAACTTCTGTCATATTTGTCAGATGTAAACACATAGATATGAAAGCATTGTATGTCTTTATGGCTATGATTTTGATGTGTGCCTTGACATCTGTCATATCAGGTTCTTACATGTAATTGTCTCATTTAGCTATGCATGGACCTTTATTTGTTTGGATGGACTTTATAGTGAATTTATTAAGTATATTTTTAAATGTAACTATCTATAATTTTTCTTTCTTTTTTCTTTTCTTTTTTTTCAGTTTTTTTGAGACAGGGTTTTTCTGTGTAGCTTTGGCTGTCCTGAAACTCACTCTGTAGACCAACCTGGCCTTGAACTCATGGAAATCTGCTTGCCTCTGCTTTCTGAGTGCTGGGATTAAAGTAGTGTGCACTACTGCCCAGTTGGTATAATTTTTATTTGAACTATGTTAATATTAGAGATTAGCTGAGGGATTTATATTAGACCCTTCTGTCCTGTGTGGTGGTGTTGCTGCCACCTAATAAGTTTCCTTCTTTGTCTTTTACTAAAATTTTAGCACTTTATCTAATAAGGCCCTGTTTAGTAAACAAAATTTCTAGTCGTTTCTAGATTGCAGATAATTTTTATTGAATTTGTATGTGGAAGCCTTGTTCTTCTCTTATTCATTCTAATGAATTAATGATTTTTATTGGTTCTTTAAAATATGACTATGAGCTGGGAGTGGTATCCATACCTTTAATCCCAGCAGTTGGGAGGCAGTGGAGGTAGATCTCTGAGTTTGAAGCCATACCCATCTATAGAGTGAGTTGTAGAGCAGCCTGGGCTATACAGAGAAACCCTGTCTTGAAAAACCAAGCAAGCAAGCAAATAAACAAACAGACACATATGGCTGATATCATTCACCAACCAACATAGTGCATCTCCCCTCCCAATGCTCATGTTGCATTATCTTTTTTAAATGTTTTACTTTGTTTTTTTTAATTATTTATTTTATGTGCATTGGTATGAAGATGTCAGATCCCCTGGAACTGGAGTCACAGACAGTTGTGACTCTTCTTGAAGAGCAGCCAATGCTCTTAACCACGGAACCATCTCCCTAGCCCCGTTTTTCTTTATGTTTAATGTGTATCTAAGTCAGGAGTTTGTGCATGAGAATGCAGGACCTTGTAGAGGCATGTGATTCCCCTGGAGCAGCTGTGAGCCACTTGATGTGGTATTGGGAACCAAGCTCAGGTCCTTTTGGAGCTTGTGCTCCAAGTCCCTCAGTCTCCACATAATCTTTTTTTTTTTTTTTTTTCCTTCCAGTATTGTCACAATTTCCCCTTTTCTCTTTAAATCTTCATATTTCATTACGTTGTGATTCCTGGTGTAGTTTCCCAGCTTTCATCTCTTATGTTTCTGAAGTTACTGGTTTTTGTTATTTTCCTCTGAAAAATTACCAAGAGTTTTTATTATTGTTGTTGTTATTCAGGGGTCAAACCCAGGAGCTCCCACCTGCTGAATCCTCATCCCACCGCTGAGCTGCACTCCCAGCCCCAAGGTTCTTTTTTGTTGTTTTGCTTTTATTGTTTGTGTCACCATCTTTTCGTTTCTTTGATGTGGTCTCTTTTTCCCCCTCTCTTCAAAGTTGGAAGTATTTTATGGGTGTGTATGTCCTTCTCTCACTTTTACTCTCTGAGTTCATGTCTTCCCAGATCTCATACATTCCGTTTGTTGTCTTCTGTAAATTGTTCTTCTGTGCTCACTTCCTGCTGAATACTGATGGAAGACCGGTCCTGTCCCTTGAGGGCCTTCCTGTTGTCTGTGATGTACCTTTCTTCTCCTGTGAGTTCTTGAGCTTGTAGACCTAGCAAGTGACTTCTGTAACTGTGCTGTGTGACATCACCGTACCTGGGACTGAGGGTATTGGGGTCAAAGAGGTGGGAGGAGTTTATAGTCTTAACTGTTCATTGTTTACACATCTTCTTTCCTATAACCTCTCAATGCCAGAAAGAGGAAGCTCATTTTCATCAAAATCTAATCTGTTTAGGACCAAGCACTGTGTTGTCCAGTCTAGATGAGTTTATCGAAGAATCATCTAAAGCACACTCTGAGTCACAAGAACCAATAATGACTTTACAACCTATGGAGCCTTCTCTTGCCCAGAAATCATCCAATGTGCTATTAAAAGAGCTAACTTCGAAAAAGGGTAAGGAGGAGTCAGTATTTCCACTGGAAAGAGGGCTGTAAACAAGCTAGACAAGCACAGAGACCCAGGATTATGGTTGTGGGACCTGATGTGTTTCAAGTCACACTGAGCCCACTTCTTCACATTAGTCTAGGATCTGAAATCCAACCCCTGTGCTGGGTCTCCTTTAATAAGTATGGATTTTAATTTTGTCCATACAAGTATCTAACAGAACTATAATTTTCCAATGAGGCTTCATTTTCAGAATATCTGTAAATTGTGTTTCAAATCCAAGGAGATTTAAATACTTCTTTAAATTAATAAGTTAAGTGCATGTGGAGAACAGAAGCTGACACCAGGTGTCTGTCTGGCCTATGTCACTGTCCACCTTGTTTTCTGAGACAAAATCTCATTGTTTCAGCTGTCCTGGCTGGCCAGTGAGTGCAGCTTGGTTTTGTGTTGCTGGTGGTGGGATTCCAGTGACACGCCTGCTCCTGGCTTTCTTGGTGGGTGATGGAGGTCAGAACTCAGGCCCTTTTGAATGATCTCTAAAGCCCTTTCATTTAGTTGTTACTTGCCTTTAGAAATACTCATTTGGGCTGGAAAGATGGCTCAGTGGTTGAGAGCACTTGCTGCTCTTTCCAGAGGACCTGAGTTCAATTCCCAGAACACACATGTCAGCTCACAACTGTCTGTAACTCCAGTTCCAGAGAATATGGCACCATCATACAGACATACATGCAGGGGAAACACCAATGTATGTAAAATAAATCTTAAAAAAAAACACTCATTATTTGCCTTGATGCCCTTTAAGTCTGCTTTCTGCATCATAACTAGAAATAGTCTATTGCTTCCCAGATTCTGAGATCCGGAAGATGATTCTCCATATATTCTCTATTATTAATATGTGTGAGCTTCTGGCATTTCCTATTTGCATCTGGTCTTCTATCCTGTTAATCTATTTTCAGAAACATCAAAATGTCAAGATTCGTCAGCCTTTTTGCATTCTACCCCTCATGTTATTCCCCAAGCCCCTGCCACAATCTTCATGGAGACCATTCGATTCTTGATGAAGGTCAATGCTGTGCAGGTGAGAATGTTTGGGAATGGGTACATAGATGGAGGATTTTAGTAAACTATGTGTTCCATCCACAGCAGTGTCTTACAAGCTTAAATATGTGTGAAGCAGAAACTAAACATAATTTTTTTGGTCCTGGGGATGAGCTTAGGGCCTCCTACACACTAAGCACACATTCTACCACTAAGCTCTAGCTCTATTGCTAATTTCTCAGATGTACTTTTTTTAGGTTTTTTTTTTTTTACATGTTGATCCCAGTTCCCCCTCTCTCCCTCTCTCTGTCTCTCTCACCCTCTTTGCCCCCTCACATGCACCCTGACCACCCTCCCCTCCCATCCCTCCACCCCAATTCCACATGTAGGGCTATGCCATCCAGGTGGGGTCGTGTAAATCTGTCAAGTCATTAGAAGTAGGGGCTAGGACTTCTCTCCTGCCTCTAGGTTAAAGCAGTATCCCTCCTTGGGGGGATGTGTCCACAAGGTCCTTTTGTGAACCAGGAATACATCCTGGTTCCACTGTCTCTTAGATGTACTTTTAAGGGCATTTCTTAACCAAATCTAAGTAATATCCAAATACCAGCCACTCTCTGGAGATGCTATTATCAGCCCTCACTGAGAAGTCTGTTCCCCATAGGATGCCAACAGAACAAAGTCAGACTCTTAAGTTTGACTATAGCCTGACCTCTTTCCTTTTAAAATATTTTAAATTTACTTCTCTGTGAGGAGATACATGCCTGTGGACGTCAGAAGACAACTTGCACAAGTAAGTGTTCCCCTCCCACCATGTGAGTTCTAGGGATCAAACTCAGATATTTTAGCTTGGCAGCAAGCACCTTTACCTACTGAGCATTCTTGTCAGCCCCTGAGCTTTTTCTTTTAGGAATGTATGAGTGTTGGAGGTTCATAGGCACATGATTATACCTATTTTACCATCCATGTCCTGAGAACAGATACACAGTGCTATATGAAAAAGGGTTAAAAATATTAAATTACTTTAATGGCAAAACTAAGTTATAGGTTTGGCAAGATGGCTTAGTAGGTAAAGGGGCTTGCCACCAAGTCTGATGACTTGAGTTTGATCCCTGGAACCCACATAATGGGAGAAGAGAACCAACTCTTGGGTAAGTTACTCCCTTATCCTCACATGCACAACATAGTATGCATGTACCCTGCCCCCTCACCCCTACAAACATACATACATGTATACTGTTTCCAAATTTGCTGACCCACATAGTCACAGGCAGAACAGCTAGTGATGCAGTCTTCTTCCCAAAAAAGAAGTTTATCCAACAAGCACATGCCCACATAAGGAGTACCCATGAACAAGTGGTAGGAAGGAGTGTAAGATAGAGAACTTGGTGGAATGAACCCTGATCCTTCAAGCAATGCTTTACTTGAGGGCATGCAATCTCGAGAAAGGGCAAGAATTATGAATTGGGTAGGGTTGGATCACATTAAATAAGAGTCTTTCACACACAGGAATGCTTCCCAGCAGGAACAGGCTCTCTCCTCCATTAATGAATCTCATCTATCCAGATCAGATTGCCAGGGGCAGGTAGAGCTAACAGGTTTCTGTGCTGAAAGGCTAAAATGATGAAGAACAGACTGCAGAGGCTAGGTAGGGTCCACTTGTGCTTTGCACCTGACTGCACCAGATTTGTCTGTCACTTAAATTGAGGGGGTGGAGGGGAAAAGCCTCAAAAGTGCATTGGTATGCATAGATAGTTAGTGGTATGGCAAAAGCAGGTATATGTTTGTGAAATTCCAGGTCTTAGCATTTCAGAGAGATGGCTTTGCCTCATTATTAGTGTTCTTAAAATGTCAACTGTTTGAAGATGTTACTCCCTGTGTAAGCAGGAAGGCTGATGAAATGCCTTTGCCTGTACCTCATAAATACAGTTTAAATCTCAGTCTGGCCACGGGTTGGTGGTGAACACCTTTAATCCCAGCACTCAGGAGGCAGAAACAGGCAGATCTCTGTGTGTTTGAGGCCAGCCTGGTCTACAGAGCTAGTTCCAGAACAGGCTCCAAAGCAATTCAGAGAAACACTGCCTTGCAAACAACAAATAAACAAAATGAAATGAAACAAATCTCAGTCTGATAGCCACCAAGGCCAGCCCCATGTAGTGCTGCAAGGTGTTCCTTGGAAATATTGAGTAGCTGTTACTAGAACATAAAGTACTGAGTGCTTGTGATAGCCCTTGTCCCTTTGCCACTGAAGATGATCATTTTACTCTATAAGACACCGACTGCTCACCCAGGGAGCCAGACTCCCCTCCACTCTGTAAAGCTAACCAGTCATTTTTATGGTCTTTGTTCTTGGATTTCGTTGCAGTTTGTGCACAGAGTCCTGGCACATGAGCTGCTGTGCCCTCAAGGAGGGCCCAGTTGTGAATATTACTTGGTTCTGGCCCAGACACACCTTCTCAAGAAGGACTTTGCCAAGACAGAGGAGTACCTTCAACAAGCGGCCCAGATGGACTATCTGGTACTGCTTTCCTAGAGAAAGCCTCTTGGATGGGAGAAGGGGTGAACAGACCTTTTTAAACCAGGATGAGAGCAGGACACAATAGTGTGTGCCTCGGGAGCTTGGGGGTTTGAGCCCAGGAGTTTGAGCATGGGTAGCATGATAGAGAGAGAGAGAGAGCTCTGTCTCAGATTAAATAAATAAAATGGCCGTGCCAACTCACAGGGAAATTTCTGGGGTGTGTGTGTGTGTGTGTGTGTGTGTGTGTGTGTGTGATAACATTTATACTTGAACTTGTTTTCCTTAAGTAAAGAGAATAGATAAGGTGGACATTTAGCAAGAGTTGCTCGTTATTTCAAGTTTCTAGACTTCTCTTTGCTCCTAATAACATTATCCTGATTACAGTTGAGTGTTTGTATTAGTAGTTAGGCTTTGAGGAATCAAAAAATGAAAACAGACCTAGGGAAATACAAAAACAGCTCTTTCTGTGTGCTTTTAGAAAAAAAGAAAGAATGGTTGAGGGAACCAGGTGGTAGCAGCATACACCTTTAGTCCCAGCACAGAGGCAAGTGATTCTCTGTAAGTTCAAGGCCAGCCTGGTCTATAGAGTGAGTTCCAGGACAGCCAGAGCTACACAGAGAAACCCTGTCTCCAAAAAAAAAAAAAAAAAAAAATAGAGAAGTGTACCAATCTAAATTTAAATGTTAAGCAAAATCCGTTTGAGACTCAAATATCACATTAGCCTGCGTGTTCTTTGCTTCCTCAGAACCCTAATGTCTGGGGTGTGAAGGGCCATCTATATTTTCTGAGTGGAAATCATGCTGAGGCCAAGGCATGCTATGAGCGAACTATTAGTTTTGTAGTCGATGCTTCTGAGATGCACTTCATCTTCCTACGACTGGGACACATATACCTGGAAGAAAAGGAGGTAAGGGAGAGGTAGGTAACTGTGGTCCAGGACTTGTCAGTGGCTATGGAGAAATATAGCTAAGCACTGCCACCTAGAGGAACCCAGAGAGCTCCCATCCTCTGCCTCCTCCATTACTCCCCTCCATCCCACCTGCATTTTAGGGACCTTCACTTTAGGCAAAACTAAGCTGAAGAAGAGAACTCAGGACATGTTGGAATGATGCAAAGTTGGAGAGTTTACTAAGAAGGGATACAGAATAACACACCATTTAGCTAAACATGAGTGGGAGTAGGAGAGAGAGAAAAACTGACTAAAAAGCAGTGCACATCCAAAATGGGTGTGGGCTTCTCAAAAGACTGCCTGGATGTCTTCACAACACCTGTACATATGATTCTGAGCTGTGATTTTAAAAACGCTTTAAAGTTTAAACAATTTTTCAAACTCATGAGTGTAAAAATTATGAGCGGTGGAGAGATGGCTCAATGGTTAAGTGGTTAACACATGGCATACACGCATACATGCATAACCTCTTGCAGAGGAACCTGGTTTGGCTTCTAGCATCCACATAGCAGCTCACAAGCATATACCAGGAGATCTGACACATCTGATCTCCATGGGCTCCTACTTACATGTGGTACAGAGACACATAATGGCACATACACACACACAATTAAATGTTTTAAAACATGAGCTGGTTTATTAAATTTAAAGAATTTCCTTTGGGGGCTTGAGAGAAGGCTCAGTGGTTGAAAGTTTATACTACTCTTCCAGTGAATCCATCAGGCAGCTCTGACTCAGGGGATCTGAGTCCCTTTTGAGGCATCTACAGGTACCAGCACACACATGACATACAATCATACATGTAAACACACATTTTTTAAAGAAAATTTTAAAGAACTTCCTTTTTCAAGATGCAAAGATGGCTCAGTGGCTAGGAGTGCATTCCCAGCACCCACATCAGGCAGCTTAGAAACTGCCTGTAACTCCATCCAGTTCCAGGGGATCTGACATCTCTAGCCTGCACAAGCCTCAACTCATATGCACATACTCACACATAACATGATTAAAAATAAGTCTTTTTTTTTTTAAAAAAAAAAAAGGATTTCCTTTTGTAAATTAAATTGACAAGGTTTCACAAGGAGTATTTTTTTCTTTTTAGGTTTTGGGCCGAGAGAGAATGGTGATGCAGTTAAACTTAAGACCCTCCCCCTGCTCCTGCTCCTAAAAAAACTTGGTCCATTGTTTTTAGCATCTCTGTTTATCTTTAGGGAGATCAGCACTATCTCCACAGGTGGTTTTCATTCAGCAGCTGTGTGGAAGTCTCTGACTTCCAGACAGATTCTGGAACAGGGAAGTTCCTTTTCTTCCTTATGTCTCCTTGATTTTTCCTATTCTCCTATCCTGCTTCAGAGCCAGCCAAGTGGGGAGGGGGAGAATGTGGTGGGAGGGAGGCGGGGGGGGGGATGGAAGGGAGGGAGGGAGAATGAACTGGGATCAATATGTAAAATAAGAAAAAAATAGTCACATGACCATATCACCTTTATACCAATGGTAAAATCATTTGCTCGGCATTAAGTACCCAGTAACTAGTGTAGAAATGAGAATCTGGTATTGACCACTGAGCTACTAAAAAGTTATTATGAACTTTAATGAATGTTATTTTAACTAAATATTTTATTAATACTAATAGGAATTTTATCTGCGGTAAAAGAAACATTCTTTTTTTTTCTTTTTTTTAATTTATTTTATATAACAAAGTCCAATTAAATGAAAACAAACATTTATACACAATATTTGGGAATTTGGGCGTTGTTCTTTCCAAACTACTTCCTGCTGGTAAGGGGCGCTGTCATGGGGATTCGAAGAAGATTCAGAAATCCTAGCTGTAGTCTGTAGGACTGCTTTGTCCAGCTGTTTTGAATGTAGGATCACCTCGTACTCTGTTTCAGGCGGTCTGGTGTGATTAAACCACATTAGTCTGGAAGGAATCCACATCTTTTCATTTTCTGTGGAAACAAAAATAGAAATCCTTTTCCCCAGTAACTTGTCCTTGAACTTAAATTTTGGAGTCAAAGCATTTTTTTAAATTTAATTTATTATTTTACATGTCGATCCCAGTTCCCTCCTTTCCTCCCTCCTTCTCCCCCCCTTTTACCGTCTCTGCCCTCTCACATGCACTCTAACCACCCTCCCCTCCCACCCCCCCACCCCAATTTCATATGTAGGACAATGCCATCCAGTTGGGGTCATGTAGATCTGACAGGTCATGTGAAGTAGGGACTAGGGCTTCTCTCCTGTCTCTAGATTAAGGCAGTTATCCCTCCATGGGGGATGTGTTCGCAAAGTCCTTTTGTGCACCAGGGATACATCCTGGCTCCACTGTCTGAGGTCCCTTAGACTGCTCAGTCCTTCTGGCTGAGACCCATATTCAGGGGGGCCTGAGTCAGTCCCAGGCTGGCTTCCCAGCTATCAGTCTGGTGGCCCGTTAGCTCCTCCTTGTTCAGGTAAGCTGTCTCTATGTGTTTCTGCCGCCTGGTCTTGTCCTCTCCATCTGCATCTGGGTTCTCTAGTTCGACTCAGTGTTTATGTATGGGTGTTTGATCCTGTTTCCAACAGGCATTAGTTGAGGGCTCAATGGAGAAGTTAGTAGTTGATCTCACTTTCCGGGAAGGGCATTTATGATAGCCTTTCCACGGAAGCTCAAATTGTTAGTTGGGAGCAGTCTTGTAGTTCTCTAGACCTTTCTTTGTGTTCAATTTTCTCTTCAAACCAATATTGGCTCCTTCTTTTATGTTCTCTCTCTCTCTCTGTCTCACTCCCTCTTTCCTGTCTTCTATTCCTAACCAGGCTCAATCTTCCTGGTCGCACATTTTTTCCTTTCCTCCCCCTCGTTTTCTCCTACTTCTCTCTCCATTCGCTGCCCCCCCACTTCCCCTGAGCTCTGGGGGACTTGTCCCTTCCCAGTTCTGTGAGGGACTTTATATGAATCTCTTAGAATACACCTTGTATCCTAGTTCCTCTGGTGGTGTGAATTATAGGCTGGTAATCCTTTGATCTAGGTCTAAAATCCATATATGAGTGAGTACATACTGTGTTCCTCTTTTTGTGACTGGGTTACCTCATTCAGGATGGTTTCTTCAAGTGCCATCCACTTGCCTGCAAATTTCAAGATACCATTATTTTTTTCTGCAGAGTAGTATTCCATTGTGTAGATGTGCCACATCTTCATTAACCATTCTTCAATTGAGGGACATCTAGGTTGCTTCCAGGTTCTTGCTATTACAGATAGTGCTGCTATGAACATAGTTGAACAGATGTCTTTGTTGCATGGATGTGAATCCTTTGGGTATATGCCTAAGAGGGGGATTGTCGGGTCCTGTGGTAAACTAATTCCCATTTTCCTGAGGAACCGTCATACTGATCTCCAAAATGGGTGTATGAGTTTGCACTCCCACCAGCAGTGGAGGAGTGTTAACCTTTCTCCACATCCTCTCCAACATAAGTCATCATTGGTGTTTTAAAAGAAACATTCTTAGCTTGACTTAAGGGACAGAACATGTCCTGGGACTCTAAAGGACTTCTTCAGACTTCCTTCCCAATACAAAGCATTAGGTCTCATCTAACTTAGGCTAGTGCCCATCCTCTTGGGCACTCTAACTTGACTCCTCAGCTGTCCCTCTGCTGTCTTTTAGGGAAATTACCCCAAGGGCCTTTGCAATGGGGTAGAACAGGGGTTTGCTATTATAGAAAACTTCAAATACATGCAAAATAAACACAATAAGAGAACAAACCACCTGGACACATAATTGTTGTCACCATTCTGTCATCAATGTTTTGATTCCCTCATTTTATTTTGTCTTCATTCCTTTTCCCTTTTTCACCTGTGAATGTTAGTTTTGTTTTGTTTTTTGTGTATTAACAGGAACATGAAGTTCCAATGCTCGACAATATACATGGGAAGGCTAAACCAGGGCTGAGAGAAATCACAGCCCTACTGCAGTGAAGTAAATAAGGAATCATTGTCTTTCTAAGGTCATTGCAAGCTGCATCTTCCAGGCACTACTGACTTCATGGTTACTAGGCAACCAGTTCCTAGATTAAATGCTGAAGATCAGCTATAGATATAAGACAAGAAATAAGGCATGGGGCCCTACTTCTTTTTAATGTTTATTTTTGTTTTCTGAAACAGGGTTTCTCTGTGTAACCTTGGCTGTCTTGGAACTCACTCTGTAGACCAGGCTGACCTCAAACTCAAAAAGATGTGCCTGCTTCTGCCTCCTGAGTGTTGGGATTAAAGGTATGTGCCACCACTGCTCTGCTTGAGTCCTACTTCTTTTGAAAGTTTCATTTTGGAAAGAGACCAGGTCTTGAGTGTGGCAGTGTGTGCCTATAGTCCCAGTGCTCAGGAGCTTAGGTCACAGATTGCTTGAGCACAGAACTTTGAAATCAACCTGGGGGAAGTACTGAGGTATTGTCTCAAAAAACAAAAAAGAGACAATGGTCTAGGGATATAGTGCAGCTAGTTGAGTACATGTCTATCAAGAATGCAGCCTTGGGATTGATTCCCACCATCACATAGAACTAGGTGTGTCAGGGCATCCCTGTCTTCCAGGTTTCAGGATGTAGAGTGAGCTTTTGAATGCTGTCCTGGGCTACATAGCAAGCTTGAGACCAGTTTGGGCTATGTCTCTTCTCACCCACACTAAAGGAAATGAAATGTCATCTTTTTTTTTTTTTTTTGAACCAAATAGAGCTTTTTTTTTTAAAATTTTTTTCTTGAATCAGATGCACAGCAGATACAGTCAGCATAAGTAAGAAATAGCATTACAGTTACAAGACTGTCTTTGCACTTCTGGGCTCAACTAACCTTCTTTTCTTAGCTCTTAGAAGCTGAGTAGCAGACCTTGCCTCTGAATGGAAGTTTGGTCTTTGAGTTTCTCTAATGTCTTCTGTGGTACCTTGAAGACTTTTCTGATCAGAGAATAGGTTCTCAGAGGGACCAGAGGGTCAGTGTCTGTCACCCCATCACATGATAACTCCTCCTCCTCCTCTTCTTCTTCCTCCTCTTCCTCCTCCTCCTTTTCCTTCAAAGATCTATTTATTATGTATACAGTGTTCTGTCTGTATGTGTCCCTGCAGGCCAGAAGAGGGCACCAGATCTCATCCCAGATGGTTGTGAGCCATCATGTGGTTGCTGGGAATGGAACTCAGGACCCCTGGAAAACCAGCTAGTGTTCTTAGCCACTGAGGCATCTCTCTAGCTGATGATGCCTCTTCTAACTGAAAAGATGTAGCACATACATAAAGTCTCAACAAAATTCATATAATCACTGTGCTTCCCTAGAATACCCAGTTTAAGTTCCTCCCTTGTCTACCAATTTGCTTCCAGGTGAAAATCTGCCCTTTCATTTTGGCTTCCTCAGCTCTCCCTAGTACTCTTGCAACACCTCCTTTAAAGTATCCATGGAAATATAATCCAAGGACTCACTCAGTTTTATATTACTCTGGAACAAAACTGTCAAGAAGCTCACAGTTACCTTAGCAACATGGTGTTTGAAGCTTATGGTACTTTTCTTTTGACAGTATGAAAAGGCAAAGAGAACCTACATGCAAGCCTGTAAGAGATCCCCTTCGTGTCTGACCTGGCTGGGACTAGGAATTGCCTGTTACCGGGTAAGAGTACAAAGGCTTGTTACCTGGCCCTGATTTCTCTGTCCTCCAAGCATATTGAGGGAGGTTGTGATGATAGTGGGAGGGCAGTCTGCTCTAACAAAAACAACTACTCTTCAAATTGTTCATAAGACCTAGAAGTGGTGGTGCACACCTTTGATCTCAGCACTTGGGTGGCAGAGGCAGGCAGATCTCCATGAGTTCAAGGCCAGCCTGGTCTATATAGAGTCCCAGGACAGCTAGAACTACACAGAGAAACCCTGTCTCAAAAAACTAAAAATCAAACAAAATCCTAATGCACATAAAACAAAACTAAACAAACAAAAAAGAAAAACTAAGGAAAACCTAGCTGAGAAACCTGACATGTAAACACACAGAAGTGTGCTCCCAGGGCCACACAACCAGCTATGGTGTCAATATTTTTCTTTTAGCTTTTTATCATGGACAGTTTTAAATGTCTTTAGTCATAAAGAGAAGAAAATGCCTTCTACTTTACCCTGCTTTGGCAGTCATTGACTTTAGGTCACCACAATCTTCAACTTTGCCTCAACATTTCTCTCTGGAATCTTTTAAAGCAACTGTTAGACATGGAGCAGCCCATCTGCAAACCCGTTAATATGGTCAGGCCAGAGTCTAATTCCTGTCTCTCCCAAGGCCAGGGATGGGGCTCTTGTGCACCCAGGGTAGTCTCAAACTCATGGTATAGCTAAATATGACCTTTAACTCATCTTTCTCTCATGCCTACCCAGTGGTAGGATTATAGACAGACAATATTTTCTGCCAAGACTGTGAGGTTGTTGATGTTCATGTTCACAGAGTTCCTGCCTGAGGCTGGGGACAGTACCTTCAAAGCTGTAAACATGCCTTTGATCCCATCATTCAGGAGGTAGAGGCAGAGGCAAAAGAAGGTGGCTTTCTATGAGGTCAAGGCCAGCCTACTCTACACAGCAAGTTACAGGCCAGCCAGGGCTCCAGAGAGACCATGTCTCCAAAAAAAAGTTTTTTTTTTTTTTGTGCATTATGTACACATACCTTTGTAGTTGGTTCCTTTATTCCCATGACCTTATGCATCTACTTATCCTTCATGGTCCATCATAGTGACATTTCTTCTCTGAGGCTATCCTTCAGTCTTAGGGTAGATCTGGTACTGTTTCTCTTTGTCCCATCTCTAGATTGTAAGTGTGCTTTTACTGTAGAAATATTTATTTTGTAATGGAACTGTTTGTACTTAATTTTTCATTGTTTTTATCTTTTATGTATCAATGGGTCTTTAGGTAGGGGGATGTATATGTATATACGTATTTTTATTCTCAGCATCAAGAATATTGCTGAGCATAGAACACATCCTCAGATAATGTACATTGACTGAATAATCAATGTCTGGAAGACCTGAAGTACGAATCCAAACATGGGCTTAGAAACCCTCTCTCTCTCTCTCTCTCTCTCTCTCTCTCTCTCTCTCTCTCTCTCTCTCTCTCTCTCTCTCTCTCTCTCTGCTTTTCCAAGACAGGGTTTCTCTGTGTAGCCCTGGCTGTCCTGGAACTTGCTTTGTAGACAAGGCTGGCCTTGAACTCACAGAGATCTGCCTTCTGAGTGTTCCTCACCACACAGCTCACTCATTATTCTTTCAAATCAGAAAAACAAAACTATCTAGGCCTGGTGGTTCACCCCTATAGTACCAATGCCTGGTTGACTGTGGGTGGATAGTTTCGCTTTCAAGGCCGGTCTGGACTATAAGCCAATCCTGAGACCAAGTCTCTAAGTAAATACTTTTAAAACAAAAATAAATTTAAAAAAGTTTCGATATCATGGGGAGGATATATATATATATATATATATATATATATATATATATACACACCATATATCCACCCACAAATAATATGTATTAGTAGTTACATAATTATATAAGAACATATAAAATGTATGCTGTATGTGACTCTGGAGACACTGATGAATTCTGAGGTTTTGTTTGAAGGAGCACTGGTACCGGAAGGTCATAGACAGCTACTGGTCGGATATTGATTTCACCCTAAGCTGATTCTAGTTTGCTTCAGTGAAAAAAAAAAAAAACACTTTAGTGTAACAAGTACGGTTTTTTCTGCCCGCCACCTGCTCTTGTTCCGCCACCAAGCCAGCCCCAAATAACACACGGAGACTCTGTATTTGATATTATCCTGTTGGCCAGTTACTAGTTTCTTATCGGCTAGCTCTGCCTTTAATTATGAACCCATTTCTGCTGATCTATGTATTTTCACATGGCCTTCTCTTACCGGGGAGGCGGCTGGCGTCCAGCTCTCTCCAGACACTCCATCTTGAATCCTCCTTACTACTTCCTATTTCCTCCTTGTCTCCTAGTCCCTCCTATCTCCCTTTCCTATTTGCCAACAGTGCTTTATTATTAGCTAGTATGAGAAACATACAGAATGACCTCTCCCATCACTTTAGACTGTGTCTTCTGTCTCTCCCTCTCTGCCAAGCTGGAAGAGCTCACTGAGGCTGAGGATGCTCTCTCTGAAGCAAATGCATTGAATAACTACAATGCTGAAGTGTGGGCCTATCTGGCTCTGGTCTGCCTGAAAGTGAGTGTTTCACATTGTCCCTTTACAAAGCCCTTTCAGAGAACAGGGGAGGGTCCAACAAAGAAAGGTAAACTGGTTGTTAACACATAATAACTTAAGTTCCATGAGCTCTGGATTTGGTCATTGTACTTTTGACAAAGGAAGTATCAATCTTGGGCAGTTCCTCCTTGAAACCGGAAGGACATACTGTGCTTTCTTTCTGCTTCAGGTTGGACGACAACTGGAAGCTGAGCAGGCCTACAAGTACACAATAAAGGTATGAGACAGATGCCATACCAAGGCTGTAGATTGTGAGAGCTCACAGTGCTTGATGAATTTCCACCAAGGGAACACACACCCTTGAAAACAACACAACATTCCAAGTCTTTAAGGGGGTCTCATGGTGATGAGAGTATAGGAAAAGCCCATTCTATTCCCACAAATTTAGAGCCTTGTAAATTAGGGATCTTCAAAGCTTGGAGGTGTGTTGGTGTGATTTGTTCTTCCTGTCTTGTTTCTGCAGTTGAAACTGAAAAACGAGGCTCTGCTTGCAGAAATCCACAGTGTACAGGAAATGGTTGGCTTTGGAGATCCATCTTTCTGATGTCCTGGCAAGTGGATATTCAGTATGGGACCCCCAAGCATAGCATCTTTCCTTCCCAAATTGTCTCTAGATGAAACCTGGACTCCCCTCCCCCCATTAGATGTTAACTGTAAATCAGACAATTAAAAAAAAGAAAGAACCTCAGTTTGTCAGTGTGTTTCTAGAGTCTTACATAGCACATATAATTAACTAATTAGTAAACATTTGTGAATAGCTATATGCATCATGGTTGTAACTATTAGAATTTCTGATGAAAGCTTATGGTCAATTGCCAAGGTCCTTGACCAGCTTCAGTTACTGGGGCTTGGGAATTATGGTATCATCTTCAAAGGTGGCCTTAGAATACTGCCATGCTGTGTCACTAGGTAAGAGAGCAGAGGATATTCTGGGGGCTAAGCGTTTTGGGAGAGCTGAAAGAGAGGTATTTTGCTTAAGAGAGATATACTAATTTCTTTAAATCAACCGGAATCTTGCCCTCTCACACAAACACTCACACACCCTCTTCCGCATCGTTACACACACACACACACACACGCACGCACGCACGCACGCACGCACGCACGCACGCACCCCCTTCCTTTTCCGCATCGTTAAAGGAAGTCAGGGTCCCCTTGTTGCCTTCCGGTAGACTCAGAAAGAGAAAGCGGAAGAGGCAGGGCGAGCGGCCGGAGGCTTCCGCAGAGGGCTTTTCGGATCTTAAGCGGTGCTGGGGCGTGTGCCTGCGCTGCCGCTTGGGGCGCTCCTCCAGGCTTCAGGCTTCAGACTCTGTGGAGTTGGTGTATACAGGAAGGACCGCCAAAGGGTCACTGGTCGCTGCACTATGGTCCACCTTAGTAAGTGAAAGAGTCTTCGGGACGGGTGCGGGCAGCGGCGACCCGGGCTAGGAGCTCCGCAGTGCCTTACAGCGGCGCCTCGTCTCAGTCCCCTTTGTTTTTAGACGGGTCTCATTGTGTAGCCTGGCTGGCCTAGAAATCACAATATAAAGAGAGTCTGGCTTTGAACTCATAACAGCAAACTCATCGTTGGCCTCTGCCTCCCAAATGTGCTGTAATTAAAGGCGTGCTTCACCACGCCCGGCCTCTCTTTTTAGTTTTACCATGAAATCGTTGTAGAAGTCGTCTTGCTGATGAGGCAGTTAAGGTTACGACAAGGTCAATCTAGCAAGTGGCAGGTCCGTGTTATGCTCGCACATCTGGGATGGATTGGTTAAGGGGAAAGTTTCACAGACAAGTTGGTACCTAAGCCGGATGGAATGAACAGATTGGAAGTGAGAACGTTGCACTAGGAGGAGGAATTGTGCCTTTACCTTATATGACCCATTTTGTGTCTTCCTAACTAGTTATTTCTCTACAGCAACCTTTGTCTGCAAAGCATACCATGGGGGCCATCTAACCATCCGCCTTGCTTTGGGTGGCTGCACCAACCGGCCCTTTTACCGAATTGTGGCTGCTCACAACAAGTGTCCCAGGGATGGCCGCTTCGTGGAGCAGTTGGGCTCCTACGATCCACTGCCCAATAGTAACGGAGAAAAACTGGTTGCCCTCAACCTGGACCGGATCCGGCATTGGATTGGCTGTGGGGCTCACCTCTCTAAGCCCATGGAAAAACTTCTAGGTAAACTATCTCTGAGTTTAGATAATTTAAGAGATTTTATACTGGGGTCAGCTCTAGGATAATGGGAAAGAAGAATAATTTTCATTCCATCCAAGCTGCTCAGCACAGGGGTGGAAGGTGTAGTGTGATGTAATTGCCGGTTTTTAAATCTGGAGGACCCCTTTGTAAACTCCTTTAGAAGACTTCGAGTGATTGGGATTGGGGGGGGGGTGGAACTAGTGTGTTTGGGGTACCTGTCAGTTTGCTCCCCCCCCCTTTTTTTTAAATGAGAACAGTGTTAGGAACTAGACAGTGAGTTTGGTCTGTTTCTTGTCTATGCTATGGGTCAGGTATTGCATCTCAGTTCTGTGAAACAGACTCCTGGGACACACTGGCATGTACAATATTACAACAAAAATCCTCTTGCTTTTAGGTCTTTCTGGTTTTTACCCCCTGCATCCAATGATGATCACAAATGCTGAGAGACTTCGAAGGAAGAGAGCTCAAGAAGTCCTCTTGGCATCTCAGAAAACAGAATTAGAGCTGGGAGAAACAGAAGCAAGCTGACTCCAGAGTGCACACAGTTGTGGTTACAAGGGCAAGGGCCTTCACAACTCTTGTAGAACTTTTTGTTGGGCTTGAGGATCAATAAATGGAGTTTTCCAAGTCCCAGTCTTCCAGCATACCCTGAGCAGGAGTCAGACAGATTCATTGTCTGATGTTTGAGCTAGGTGTAGATAACTGCTAAGCTTTCTGCTTTACCTTGTGAGTCAGTGGTTAGAGGATTTATTGTCTGATGTTTGAGCTAGGTGTAGATAACTGCTAGGCTTTCTGCTTTACCTTGTGAGTCAGTGGTTAGAGGGGGCTTGGCCTTTGGGTTAGGCTCTCCGTGGTCACATGGCCAAGTTTACAGTCTGCTGCCTTTCAGTACTTTCCTGCTTCAGAGCCCTCAATGAGAATGTGTTGGGCCATTCAAATGCCATTCAAACCCCCTTGCTTGCTTGTTACATGTGCTATGTAGACCACACTGGCCTTGACTGTCAGGTCTCCTGAGTTCTGGGATTACAGGTAGAGCTACTCTTGCCTGACCCTTTATCACTTGGGTTCATCTCAAAGCTCAGGAAGAAATTACCTTGTTTAGTGTTTGTTAGTGGAGATGTATATTGTTTTCTTGAGGTTTACAAAGATGGGTTATAAAGTTGGTTTGGCACTTTAATATATAATCCCCCCTCCCCCAGGGTTTCTCTGTAATAGCCCAGGCTGGCCTGGAACTTACTCTGTAGACAATGCTGGCCTCTAACTCACAGAGATCCACCTGCCTCTGCCTCCCTCCAGAGTGTTGGGATGTAAAGCCTGTCCCACTGCCTTTTAAGAGAGTAGTAAGAAGGAAGCTAATACAAAACCCCTTCGTATAGTCAACTCTGTACTGAGAAGTTGCTTGTGTATTACAAGTATCACAACTTTAGCTCAGTTATATTCATGTTCACAAATGGGAAGAGAAGCTGTGCCTCAAGAGCAGGAAACCTATAGCAATTGAGATTCAGAATCCATATATCTACCTACAAAGTCTTCCTACATATATTGTTGCTTATATGAGGAGAAAAGTGATAAGAGGGCTTTTCCAGAGTTAGTGATAGAGGCCCAGGAGATGGCTCGGGGTACAAGTGTTTTACCATGCAGTTCTGAGATTCTGAGTTTAAATACTTAGAAGTCATGTAATAAATAGGAAGTGGAAGAGTCTGCAGTAGCAGCATCCTTACAGGGATATGGGCAGGAGAAATAAAGGAATCTTCAGAATAGGCCAACTGGTGTGCACAGTGGGAAAACAATGGAGGACACCTTGTCTCAAGTGAGGTTCAAAGTAAAGACTGACACCTAAGGTCTTTCTCTGGCCTCCACAAGTGTAGTGTATACATGCCCACTTTAACTCACACACACATACACACATCATACATAGAAGAAAGTCAGTGACAGAATTGTGTTTAGGTATCCTGAGTTTGGTATGTAAATCAGAGGCTGCATGAAATAAAATGTAACACCTGCTTCACCAGAACAATAGGATTTTACAATTGTAATCATGAATTACATGTTGAAGGGACACTAGCCCACTTGAGCATGTAGCTCTGGCAGGCCTTGTCTTTCTCCCCAATTCCCTCTACCTTGTTAAAAATGTTAGATTATATTCCTAAAGTTAGCCACCAAGGCCTATTATTTGGTGACTTTTCCTCCTGAGGCTGACTACCAAGGTCTGCTTATTAATGTTCAGCAATCAAAGCCCCCTTTGGCTCACCCAATTAACATGCCCAATCAAAATACATCACACATTCTAACACAGGCTCCCCTTTTTCTCTTCTCAAAACTTACACCAGCAAGGTCATTTGCTGCCTGAGTCAGAAAGCAGCCACTTTAACTTTTCTTCCCTGTTTAATAAAGGATCTCTCTGAAAACAGGTGTTTGGGTGTGATTTCTGCCTAATTCAGGATCTAGGAGGAAGCCCCCCATGTATTGGGGTGGTGTGTGTGTCTCCTTCACATGTTTGCTTTTCAAATGCTGGATGAAGGTTTGGCTATGTTTCTGGAAGATTCTAATATCTGCTTATGATCTGACTTGCCTTATTTGGGTTCTAAAAACATTTACTAGCTAATGCACATTCTGAAGTTGAGGCTCTCCAATGTGGCTGCTGGTTTTCTTTCACTTGTCATGAGGGGACCTTGAGAATAGAGATGGACTGACTTTACTTGGGTTTGAATTTTAGATAGGAGGCGGGAAAGCTGAGAAACTACTGAAATGTTTAAAACGATAAGTTGAGTCCATATTATGAGAGGTGACTGGAGCAGGCGAATGGAATTCTGTACTGTCAAATATATACAATCCTAGAAGATAAAAACTATTCTTAAAAGCTGTGCTTCTGCATTTGGTTCGACACAGGCTTTTTCCTGCCGGGATCCAGGGATTCATCCCAGATGACGTCTCTTCAGCCTGCAGTTGTACTGTTTAAGAGGCTCATCTTTTAAAACATACATCAATCTGTGGGTTGAGCACGTTAAATTTCTCAACGCTAACACATGACTATTTACTTATTTTGGTGACGTGAATAGAGGTCAGAAGAACTCTTGATGTGTCCTGGAGATCGTCAGGTATGGCCAAAGGAGTGCGGAATCGCGAGTAGAAAGGAAGTGCTTCCTCCCGCCTCAGGTGACGCCGCCATCAGCATGCTGAGGGCCGTATTTTACTTCGCAGGCGAGATCAAGTCCCTTTGCGGCTGCCGTAAAACGCAACTGGCCCCGCCTCCGGCGCGCCTCCTATGACGTAAGCGCCCAGGGCTTTTGGGCGGGAAAAGGAGGCGGGCGGCCGGAACCGCTGTGGGCGCAGGTTGTCGGCGTTTGCGGGGCATCCTCTTCCCTGTCATGGGGCTGCTGGAGCTATGCGAGCAGGTGTTCGGCACCGCCGACCTCTACCAGGTGCTGGGCGTGCGGCACGAGGCTTCCGAGGGTGAGGTCCGACGCGGCTATCACAAGGTGTCTCTGCAAGTGCACCCCGACCGTGTAGACGAGGACCAGAAAGAGGACGCCACCCGCCGCTTCCAGGTATGTGAGCCGGTGTTCGGGCGGCCACCGGGACCTCTCCCCGCTCTTGCGGCGACCCCACCCCCGGGACAGCGCACTGCTGATAACCGGCTTGGCGTTTTTAAACATTTGTAGTCTCACGGTGTCAGCGGGAGGTTCAGGGTGACTTTGGGTGCTCTTTGCCTGCAGATCTTGGGGAGAGTCTATGCGGTTCTGAGTGACAAGGAGCAGAGAGCAGTGTACGATGAACAGGGAACAGTGGACGAGGACTCTGCTGGCTTCGACCAAGACCGGGACTGGGATGCGTATTGGAGGTTACTCTTTAAAAAGGTAAAAGGGCTTTAGTGGCTTTTGACTAATTCCCATCGTCCAGTCCACAAGGACAATTCTCGAAGTTAAAGCGATCTTTTTTTTTACTAGATATCGCTAGAGGACATTCAAGCTTTTGAAAAGACATACAAAGGCTCTGAAGAAGAGCTGGCTGATGTTAAGCAAGCCTATCTGGACTTCAAGGGCGACATGGATCAGATCATGGAGTCTGTGCTTTGTGTACAATACACAGACGAACCTAGGATACGAAACATCATTCAACAAGCTATTGATGCCAAAGAGGTCCCATCCTACAATGCCTTTGTCAAAGAGTCCAAACAAAAGATGAATGCAAGGAAAAGGAGGGTAAGTTTGAATGCTGTTCATAACCTATGTCAGCTGTTTCAAAAAGGGATCTTGGGAGTATTTACAATGATGGAGATAAAGACAGCTGAAATTTGGGGTGCTTCACCTGTGGTGTTCATCTACTAGATAGTCTTGACTTTTTTTTTTTTTTTCCATGCTGATAATGATTTCACTTTATGGATTGTTTGAAATTACCCTAGAGTGACTGAAGCACCAGTCACACGGGACAGTCCTTATAGCTTTGCTGAGGCTTTCCTAGGGAGGCATATGGATCCTGGTTACATGGTAGAGGCTGTGGTCCCTCTGTGGTTGGTGAACAGGGAGAACATGGTATGGTTGTTGAGAGTAGAATGCTGGAGTGTGGTGCTTCTGGTACTTGAGCATCGAGGAGGCTAAAATAAGAGATTGTGGCTTCTGAGGTCAGGCTGGTAGTGTGTGTATCAGAGCTGGATTGGTTGTCTAGTATGTGGTAGGTCCCGAGTTAAGTCTCTAAAACTGCTCAGAAGAGTGAGAGAAAACACAGATTGATTTTTTTTTTTTTAATTCTGTAAATGCATATAATTATTAAACTTTAAGGGGCTGGAGAGGTGGCTCAGAGGGCATGTACTCTTCTTACAGAGACCCAAGTTCAGTTTCCAGTACCAAGGTCGGATGGCTCATAACTGTCTAACTTCAGCTGTCAGGGATCTGACACCTGTGGTCTCTGAGTAATTCTCCAGACCCCGCCTGCTACTACTACTACTTTTTTTTTTTTTTTTAAAGGACACTTGAGGTGAGTCTTTCTGCCCCCATTCTGAGGAATACCTGATTGCTGAGAATTGAGGATTGGGACTTGTGATTCTTCATACACCTATTAAGCCAGGGTTGGTAAGGATGGTAGCATAGAAATTCAAGGTAGCAAGCATCTGTGTTGATGTTGTCTTGGGCTCATAAAGCAACAGTTGCTTCATCTTGGCATTCACAATGAGAGCTCTCCAGGAAGCCATTTAAGATTTTAGGTATCTGGTAGGCACTTGAGTTGTCTTTTTTTGTGGCTGAAGTGGACAGGCAAAGAGCCAGAGCTTTTGGATTCATGAAATTTCAGAGAAAAACTGACCTTTGTGGATGGGGTGAGTTTAGGGCCTGTTTTGCGGAGATAAGAGACTGTCATGTCTATTGTTGTGACGGAAGAAGTGAGACGATACCAAAGTCATTTCATTGTGTGGCTACATCTACTTAAGAGTCATGTCCACTGCTTGTTAATCATTTTCTCAGGTAAAACTGAGAATAGCTGTATTTAAACATACAATTTTAGTTTGAGAAACTTGAGAGTGTGGGAATGACAATTTGAAAGCTGTCTTACCAGTGTGTGGCGATTGAGGGTGCTGAGTTTTGAAAGGTGAAAACCAAGCAAAACTTTATTCTGGAATAACAAGATCCCAATTTATTATTATACTCAGTATTAATGAAATTCTTTGCTAATTAGAAACTTTTACAACCATTTAGGACCTCATATTATCACAGTTGCTGCCTTTTGGTGTTCTTGTGGTATTTTGGCAAATTTTGTTAAAGGCAGCTTTGAAGTCAGGTAAAGAAAGGCTAAAATTGAATTTGCTAATTTTTTTTTTTTTTTTCTAACTACTCAGAAAACTGTGTGTGTGTGTTTGCTGGTGTGCTATGAGTGCAAGAGTGTGGGGACCCAGAGAAGCTAAGAGGCTGTAATTCCCAGGAGCTGGGGTAATAGGCAGCCTGATGTGGTACTGGGCATACCCTCAAAAAGCAAGGAGTGCTGCTAACCATTGAGCCAGAGAAAGCCTTCAAATCACTGCATTCACAAGGCTGTGTACAAAATGGGGTTTCAGATGAAGACCCTGAAGTGTCTGACACCTGGCATTCCTGGCTCTGTGATCCTCCCTGTCCACCTAGTAGGTAGTTTTCCTTTGTGTCAGCATCTGGTTTGTGCTCTCTAGGAAGTACAACTGGGGATAAAAACAGGAGGGCGTATTGGAATTAGAGCAGTGTGTGTCATCTTCTAATGAAAACCATGTGTAATTTTATTCATGTATCTCCAGCTCTAGTAGAGGTCTTAACATCTTCTAGATGTATTTCTGTTATTTCTTGGTTGCCATGAAGTCTGATGAAAGTTTCTATTCAGGCTCAGGAGGAGGCTAAAGAGGCAGAGCTGAGCAGAAAGGAGCTGGGACTGCAGGAAGGAGTGGATAGCCTGAAAGCACTCATCCAGGTAAACATGGCAGGCTTCCCTCTGGTTCCCCTCACAGCCCTCTCATTATCCCTTATTGTGTGTATACTCTTTGGAATAGATTCTGGTGTTCTGTTTTTTCTTTTAAGGCACAGTTACACATAATGTACACCATATGTACAATAAAGTAATTTCCCCCCTCCATGTTATACAGCTGCCACCACTGGTTCTGGAACATTGTTACTACTCCAGAGGAAGCCAGTACCCATTATGTGGTATGCTTCCCTGACCACAACCCCTCCTAACTGTGAGGTACTTTGTCTCAGTGTACAGTGCTGCATTTTGAAAGCTGTGTTTTAACTTCTCAAACAGAGCAGACAAAAGGATCGGCAAAAGGAAATGGACAATTTTCTGGCTCAGATGGAAGCAAAATACTGCAAACCTTCCAAAGGGAAAAGAGCAGCTCCCAAGAAGGAAAAGAAATGATGGACTTTTCTCATTATGGGTCCTTTTGTGTCAGTGGTGCCAGGTTAGACAAGGTGAAGGCATCCGTTAGCTTAAACTTTGAGAGAAATTGTTCTGCTTAAAACGTGTGGATCACTTAAGCCAGACAGGATTCATCAACTTGATCTTAATGTTCCCTAGAATTCACCTGACCTTATGCAAGGGCTTCACATGAAGGGTATAGTTGTGATGGTTGGGAGGGTGGATTGACTGCATTTACTTCCATGGGCCTTCTGCCCAAGGAGCTGATGTGCACACACCTAAGAGATTCTATGTACAGAGAGCACCCTCGGAACACTTACTCAGCAGCTGTCTTAATAATCCTCATAGGTTCTTTTCCTGTTTTACTGTTAATGTTTTGTCTTCTGTCCTTATGGTAGGAGAAGTGGGTGTTCATATTACTGTAGACTTTTTTTTTTTTTTTTGTAAGATTGTATATGGCTAAATAAAGAAAAACTTAAAAGGTCTGATGGATGATTTAAATAACCCATTGCTCTAGAAAAGTACAGTATATAAGCAATCAAGTCAGCACTACCACAGATAAGCTGATTTCTGCAGCAGAAATGGATGTCACAGTGCTGTCTTTGTAGGGCTCAGGGTCAGGCATTTCACTGGGCTTGTCTGTACTTCTCATCTGTAAGAGTGAGGTCCAAACTCATTAATTCGTATGTACAGCAGGGCATTTGTGTTACAGTTTGTTTGTTTTGTTGTAGTTGTTGTCTCTCCCCTGCCTTCCCAGATAGAGTTTCTCTGTGTAGCTTTGGCTGTCCTGGAACTCTGAGATCACTGCCCACCTCTGCTGGGATTAAATATGTGCTTACCACCACTGCCTGGCTTGTTTTGTTTGCTTTGTCTCAAAGTATAGCTCTGGCTAGCCTGGGATTTGCTATGTACACTTATACTCAGGTTTTTTAAAAAGGTAAGTACTAGCTTTGAGGGGACACACACATAAAAGGGTGAGAATTATAATTTAAGGTGGATACATTATACACTGTGATCATAAACATGTTAGAACTATTTAATTGAATTACAATATAATTCTGTTTGGGATATTTGAGGCATCTTATCTAATTGATGGCATAAGAACTTGGAATAATTTAAGTCACCTTCAAAAGACAAGCATTTGAATTTAGCTACTCCAAAAATTAGTAATGTCAGAGTGGTAGAGTGGTGTAATAGCTAAGGCAATAGTACCATTTTATTAAGATAGACTCAAGCCGTAGTTAACACCATTGCTCTATTTCTAATGTCCTTCAGAAGCTTGTGGTGTAACTAGAGAATATGAAGTCCTCCAGTTCCAGTGCTCTTGGAATGGAGAACTGGCTCAATGGTGAAGGACTCATATCATAAGCATAAAGACTGAGTTTGGATCCCCACCACTAACAAGAAAACCCTGTTGTGGTGCATGAATGAGGAGCTCCAAATTCAGCGATAGACTCTGTCTTAAAAAATGATACAGAGAAACAGGAAAGACATTCATCGACATCTGGCCTCCACATGCATGCCCACACAATTACACAAACATGAACACAAAAGACCCTGATGGCTGTCCTAGGAAAAAGAAACTGATTTCTTCACGCCAGTGCTGATACCTTTAGTTAGCTCTTTTATTTCATTCTTTTTTTTTTTTTTTTAATTTTTTTATAGATTATTTTAAATTATATGCATATGGGTAGTGTACATGAGTACAGGTGCCCAAGACAGCCAGAGACATTGCATCCCCCCAGGTACTTTTGTATTGCCATGTGGGTTCTGGGAACTGAACCTGAGTATTTGCTCTTACCCACTGAGCCATCTCTATAGCCCTCATTCTGCTTTTTTAAAAGGAAGCTTGGCTTCCCAGCAGGTAAAAGCACCTTCCCTGAGACAAGGAGACTCAGATGGAACTGACCCCTGAAAGTTGTCCTCCCACCACGCACGTATGCACACACAAAAGTAAATTACCTGAAATGTAATAAAGAACTTAAAGTTTAGGAATGACATTTATTTGATGAGTATCTCAGATTTTTGGCAGCACTTTCTTCTAAAAATATGTTAAAACAGTGAAGTTCTTCAGAAATTAATATAAGCAGAAATATTCTGAAGCCAGTGATCTGAATCATCTGTGTGTATGTAATCTCGCTGAATTGTACAAGAATCGAACTGGTGATTGGTTATAGACAACATGAGCAGTGATTTGAGGTGGTTTTCATTGTCACAGTCTTTACTGACCAGTGGAAGAGCTGAAAGGAGACAGTAATTGGACATAGAACAGTTGCCCACGCAGTCTTTGGCAGATACTCTAGTGTTTCTCAGACAAGTTGTACCGAGATAACTCTTGAAGGTGGACCAAGCTGCTGTTTGTGGGAGCTTTGCATCATTTGGTGCCTGAGCACTGGTGCATGAAACCCTCCATGTGATTGCAGTCTGCTGCAGCCTTGCAGGTTCTTACCTCTATGGTCACTGCCTGCTTCTAGAGATGGGTCCACCTCTGCTTTGAGGTTTTGTAGACCCATGTGACTGAGGACCTGTCAGACACAGAATAACATTAGTAAACAGTTTATATTTGGCAATAAACATCAAAGTTTAGGGACTTTTACAAATTACCATAGACTTTAAATTTGGAGACAGACTGTCTCTAAAGAAGTATATATTCACCAAGTTACTAAAATCCATATTTAAATAGTTTATCCTAATGAAGAAACAACTATAGTTTAAGAAGTAAAAACAAGCTGGGTGTGGTGGCATATATCCTTCATACTTGGGAAGCAGATTCAGGAGGATCTCTGTGAGTTCAAGGCCAGCCTGGTCTGCATAGTGAGTTCAAGGACTGTCAGGGTTGAATAATAAGAGTTTCTTGTCTCAAATCAAAACCAAACAAAACCACAACTATAACCTAGTTTTGCTTGAGAGCTTACTCATTAAAAACTAAAATGCATTATTTCAATAACCTAACTTTTAAAACTAATATTTGACTCAAGTTGGGCAGTGATGACACACACCTTTAGTCCCAACACTTGGGAGGCAGAAGCAGGCAGATTACTAAGATTGAGGCCAGCCTGGTCTACAAAGAGAGTTCCAGGACAGCCTCCAAAGCTACAGAGAAACCCTGTATCCAAAAACAAAACAAAAAATCTGACTCAAAGTGTCAGATTGGAGGCTTTAAAAAATTATTGTTTATGTAAATGTGTGTGCCTGTGAGTGTGGGCCACATATGTGCAGGTACCTGTGGGGCATGAAGAGGGAGTCTTATCTCCTGGATCTGGATTTAACAGGTGGTTGTGAGCCTGACATAGGTGCTAGGAACATTGGGTTCTCTGGAAGAACAACAAATATTCTTAACCACTGATCCATTTTCCCAGTTCCCCCAATTTTTGTTTAAAAAAAGTAATTTATTTTAAAGATTAATTTACTTGGTATTAAAAAAAAACAAATCTGGAACTTCTTGGCTTTGAGCAGCTGGCCTTTCTTTTACACCCATCTTCTAAAATGAAGCTAATATGATTTATATAGGGATAGCTAATGATAGACAGGTCTGCAGGAAAGGAGGATGTGTAGGAATAAAGAAAAAGATAAGAACAAGAATGGCAGCCCCACCTGTACCTGCAGACCCCCTGCCAGGTCGGGCCTGGTGAGGAAACTCGGATACACAGGAGTTTCGGTACTGTGTGTCTGGCTAAAAGGAGAGAAAAGATGTCTTAGGATGCAGCTTCTCCCAAAGACCCTTAGTTATTTTTCTACTGCTTTGATAAACACCATGACCAGGGCAACTTAACAGAAGGAAGGGTTTACTGCGCCCTTCAAAGCGGGGAAGCAGAAAGCATGGAGGCAGATCTAACTATCAATGGGGGAGTCTACCACACATTATCAGTAGCATACTTTTCAGCCAGGCCATACCTCCTAAACTGTCAAAACAGTACCACTGTTAGGAACCAAGAACTCAAACGGGAAGATCTCACTCAAACTACACTGGAAAACCTTGACATTAACAATGAAAATCTGTCACCTGCCAACCTGGGGCACTATGTTAAATTCCAAGAAAAAAGTTCCAAGCAGATGTCCATAAAGTAATTTGCTAACTTGTAAGAATTGCATGTTCTATAACTTTATTAATATGTCTTTAAGAAAATCTTAGCATTTACAAATAATCCATATGGTGTAATACTGCAATTAGATACAAAAGGATGTTTTATTTTGCCTCCATTGTGTTGGGATTGTAGGTTTGCATCCCCATAGCTGGCCAACAGAATGCCATCTGATATTACAGCATGCCATTTAAATAGAATCAGCACTGTTGGTGAAAGGGAAGTACGTCTATGATTTCATCATGCAATGAAATTTAACTTTACATTTAATTCTTAGCTTTATGAGACTCACACATTTCAAAGTTACCTCAGTTGGCTGTAGTGGTGCATATTTTTAATCTGAGCAATTAGGAGGCAAAACTGAGGCAGGCAGATCTCTGTAAGTTCAAGACCAGCCAGGGCTACATAGTAATAACTGTCTCAAAAAACAAAACACCAGACCAGGTGGCACATGCCTTTAATCCCAGCACTCTCAGGAGGCAGAGGCAGGTGGATCTCTGTAAGCTCAAGGCCAACCTGGTCTATAGTATGAGTTCCAGGAGAGCCAGGGCTGTTAACCAATGAAACTCTGAGGTGGTGGTGTTGGGAGAGAGGCACACCCTAAACACCAAAGTTAGCTCAAGGGATTTAAAATGTAAAAACTAAAATGAAGCACCCTGCTGGTGTTTCTTGAGTGAAGAAGTCTCTGTGACAGCCTGGATTAAGTGGCAGGACTTTTCTCCTGGTGAAGGTACCACACTGTGGAGACAGGGTTTAGCAGAGTGCTTTGTGGAATCTATTGTAATGATTTAACACCGCTGTTAAAAAGGTAAAAGTAGCCATAGACTTGGTGGCTCTGCTTCTATAAAGCTTCATTTACCAAGCAGGCAGCAGTCCTGCATAGCTCCTGAGGTTCACTGACTGCTAGCACCAGGCCTAAGGTTTGGAGCTCACATTCTTAGTTACTACTTAATCTTTTTATGATTGAAAATAGGGAAAATAATGCTAAGGTAAGCAATATTGCCTTTTATAAAATACTTATTTTTAAAGCAATTTTGAAGTGTTCATATGTTCGGTTTTATTCCTAAGGCAACTAAAACTACATTTTGAAAGGAAAGAACATAATTATAGAACATAAACTTAAAAATGTTCTGAACTGGGTGCGTGGGACACCTCTAGTCCCAGTACTTGGGAGGCAGAGACAGGCAGATCTTTGTGAGTTCGAGGCTAGCTTAGTCTACAGAGCGAGTTCCAGGACAGGCTCCAAAGCTACAGAGAAACCCTGTCTCAAAACAAACAAAAAACCCAAATGTTCTAAGTCTAATTATAAGACCAATTCAGAAGATGTTTTAGGTTTTCTGGAGTTCACAGTGGATCTGTGACTTTTCTCTAATTAAGCCTCATGAAGTTTTGAGTTGATTACTGCCCTTCAAAATTCATATCAGCCTGGAACTTGTGAATTTGACTATTTTAGGAAAACCATTTCTTTGAATAAGTAGTCAAGTTAAGAAGTCACATTGGAAGGGATGGAGAGATGGCTCAGTGGACCCTGGTTCAATTCCCAGCACCCACATGGCAGCCCACAAGTGTCTGTAATTCCAGTTCCAGGGGACCTGACACCCATGGCAAAACACCAATGCACATTACAAAAACAAAAACTCATCCTGGATTAGAGTAGGCCATACATTCAATGGCTGTTATCTTTTAATTTTTATTTTACTTGCAATAGGTATTTTGACTTCATGCATGTATGCTTACCAGGAAGTTACAGGTACTTGTGAGCTACCATGTGGGTGCTTGGAATGAAACCTGGGTCCTCTAGAAGAACAGCCCAGTGCTCTTAATCACCGAGCAATCTCTCCATCTCCAACTGTTTTTTTAAATTAGTTTTTATTTGTGTCTATGTGTGGTGTGAGTGTGTACCCACATGCCAGATTTTAACCTTTGTGTGATTCTCAGGAGCTGTCCACCTTGTTTTTGGCAGTATTTTCCTAGGCTCTGGAGCTCATCTATTAGGCTAAGCTGCTTGCCCATGGAGCCCAAGTATTGCTGGCAGCCACAGGAGCTACACAGAGGCAAGAGAGGCTCTTCTCTAGAGCTTGCAAAGAGCTTCCAGCTTCTGTAACTGTTTCTGTAGTTTTGGCTGCCCATGTTGTGGTCATCTGTTATATGCAAACCCTATGAAACATTCAGATATGAACTCCTACCACTGTTAGTAGAAGATGGCTCAGGGGTCAAGTTGGGATACATGAGCTACAAATGCCACCAGTCTGAAAACTGATGCAGGACACTGAATTCCTAGTTAAGCACTAAACATGAGCTCAATCACACCCCTATGCTTTGCAAGCCTCTTGACACAAAGCAGATGAGGTAGGACCATGCACTGACCTATAAGTATGCGAGATCCGTACATGGCTCAGTAGTCAGGGTTTTCAGATGCTTTCTTAACAGCAAAAGGGCTAGTAAGTACACAGCAAGTGAGGAGGCAAGTATCACTCACTCATCAGGAAGAGTGTTCCAGTCCTCAATCTAACACCACTTTTCGGTGTACATTCCACAAGAGCAGGGAAGGCAGTGAAGTTGGGCTGACTGGACATGCACTGGAGTTTATTGAGTTTGCTTATGCTCACAGTAAATTGCTGAAGAATTTTAATTTATGAATATGGCATTTTACTACCAAGAGAATGAGGATGGGAACACTGAAAATTTTAAGGAGAACACACAGAATGGTATTTTTATCATTAGAACATCTAATTTTCCTCAGAATTAATAATGTCCTAAATTTGTCAAGATTATACCCACTCCCACCCTGTTTTTTCTCCAATGCCAAGGACAAATAGGAGCTGGGTAGTAAGCTATTTCCTGTAACACCAACACTTGAGAGCTAGAGGCAGAAGCATTAGGAGCTATCTAGACACTGTGTTAACCCCTTCCAAAACTGACAAATAGGAAGCACTTTACCAAAAATGACTGAGTTGTGTTGGGTCTAGAGAAGACAGGTAAAAGGAGCCTCTCTTGGGGCTGCTGGTTGGGCTCGTCCACCACTGCACTTCGAGCTCGGCTGCAGTCGCCATGGGGTTTCTGCAGAGGAGAAACAGCTAAAAGTGTCCAGGGTGCTGGGCATGTTCCACATCAACCCTGTCCCTCACCAACAGCTCTGGTACCCGCTGCCAACAGCTGCAAACCCACTGCAGAGGCCTAGAACCCAGTTTATGTTTGGCGGAGGAAGAGTGAATTTGAATTAAGGCCACTGCCAGTGAGATTTCAGGATAGTGCGCACGGAAAGGCTGTGTAAGTAAGACTTACTGTCGGCCGTTGTGGCCCCACGGTGCTCAGATGTTCCACTTCAGCTGTTCCAATAGGTGGCAGCAGATTGTTCCGACCCAGGGGCATTGGCGAGGGAGAAGAGAGTGTGTCTGCAGTCACTGGACTGCAGAGCCCACCAGCAAAACCGAGATGCAAAAGCAAAGTTGTAACAACACAAGCAAATGGATGAGAAATGCAGTAATCAAGCCACTAAGTCTAATGTGCTCAGGGAGCCTTAAGCCACCTAGGTTGTCAGGAAAGGGGAAGCAATTTTGGAAAGTTTTTTTTTTTTTTTTTTTTTTTTTTTGGCTTTTTTGTTTTGTTTTGTTTTAAATTCCCTTAAATTTCATAAATATAAATCTTCAGCAGAGTCAACAGAATGATCTTGTCCAGTATTTGTATTTCACTAAAACTTAAATAAAAATTTTGAATTGGATTTAAACCCAGAGACTATCCATTGTGTGACTACTTAACTATTTCTAGGCATAGCTTCAATCTTATATTCAAATCCATTCTCTATTACTACTCCCATAACTATTGGTACTAGTTTTACCAGTTTCGGAAATTCTGCTTTTGAAACCTACACTCGGGATCCTCTGAGGATTTCTTCTGCAGGCCATGGTGTCCCGGCGCGTGAGTGACTTGTGCTGATCGGGTGAAGGGTACGGGGTGGGGGGTTGCGTCTCCTGGCGGACTGTGCTGTATATGACAAAGATGATGTGCTAAGCTCCAGGGCTCGGTTTGGCCAATTTCGGTTTGAAAGGATGGAACTGGAGCCAGGCCTCATAAGTAGCTTGTCATCAAGATCTCTAGTGGCCAAATCAGAAACTCACAATGAAAATCACTATGTAAAAGAAGACAAGGTTCAGGATAAAAAGCCTTAATCTAAGATATCCAGGGAAGAAAGAGCAAAATGGCTTCCAGAGATTATCTAGGATTCTGGCATGAGAGGCTGTTTTTGAGATGGGGGCTTCTTAGATGCCTAGGCTGGGCTGGAATTTGAGCTTCTTCTACCTGGCCTCTCCAGTGCTTTCATGATAGGTGTATACCTGACAATGACCTATGTCAATTGTAACTCACTGGAATGGAGATTTGGGGAAATGTCCATGGTTCACTTGACACACAGTCACTTGTTCAGTTGTGGGGAAGGCAAGGCTGACAGGCACAGAGTCCTACAATAGTTGAAGCCTATCTGAGCTGAGGAGGTGTCCTTAGGGTTAGATCTGAGGTACCAGTGTGGCTCTCACTTTGATACTGAAATAGTGAGCTTAGTTCTGCAATCCAACACCCTCTTCTGGGCTCTGTGGACAATGCACACACATGGTGCTCATACATATGTGGAAGTAAAACATGCATACATACAAATAAAAATAAACCTTTAAAGTGCTGAGCTAGTTGGAACCCACAGGAGTATGTTTGGTCCTGGAATCCTTGAAGCTGGAAACAAGCAAAGAGTCCCTGCCACAGCTGCCCAGGGTACTAAAAACAGAGCAGATCCCTATATGCACAAACAACTGAGGAATGCAACTCTCCCATAAGCCTTCAAACAAGCATCACACTTAATGCTGCTCTACAGATGTGGCAGTGGCCTTGGTTTTGTTGTTTTACAAGGATGCCAGGAAGTCTGATGATTCTAAGACATCTAGAAGACAAAATGGAGTGAGAAGGAAAGAAGTAAGCAGCCTGCCTCTGCCACTTGGCTACTCAGCCTTGCAGGTTTGGGCTGTACCCAGGGCCTTAGTGTTTGGAGGATTTGGGAAGGAGAATGCCCAAGTTCTAGCCCCTGAGACTTAGAGATCTTTCTGATCTTCCTAAGTAACTAATCACTCATGTCTTCTTTTTTCAATTCACTCTCACTATATTCTAATTGAAAAGGCGTGGACTTAGCTGGGCATGGCAGTACACACCTTTAATCCCAGCAAGTGGAGCTCTGTGAGTTTGAGGCCAGTCTGATCTACAGAGCTAGTTCCAGGACATCCAAGGCTACATGAGAAACCCTGTCTCTAAAAAAAAAGCCATGGACTTTAGCTGCTCTCTATCAGTGTTTTATTCTCTCAGCTCCTTTTCTGTCTGACTGTGAGTTCAATTGCCACCTTTTACTAGGTCAGTCTCCAAATCTGAACTCTCCACATCCTCAGAAGGTGGCCTGTCACTACAAACAGAACCCAGAGAAACCTATTTTCCCATAAACAAACCTCCTCTCAGAGATGACTTTGACTACTGTTCCTACAGTATCTCCTGACCTCAATCATTCTTTCTTTGAATGGTGGGGATCAGATACTCGATAAACAAGTGTCTGCAGCTGAGTTCTGAGTCCTGTACACTCCTCGCCCTGCACTAGCGCTGTGTGCACACCCTCACCGCTTTTGCTTGAACTCTGGTGAGGACTCCTTACTCTCAGTTCCTTCTGCTGCAGTACAATTCCTGACTCATGCTGTGGAATCAATCTGCCTTAGTGCCCTAAATGTGATTGTATGTCCTCCGACCTACACAAAATACTTACAATGCCTTTCTGCATAATAAAACCAGGCTAGAGACAACCTAGGGAACACAGCATAGATAAATTACAGTGGCCATGGCCATGTACAACTACATGGACAAATATCAACATGACATTCATAACCATCCAAAATCTGGTCACATTTATTAATTTTATGAATTCTTTCCCACTAATTTTCCCATGACAATATTCTACAATATTGTCAATGATCTTTGATTGCAAGCATTGAAGTTCTAATAAATTACCTCTTTTGTGAGCCAGATTTGTTCATAGTGCTTTTAGTCCCAGCACTTAGGAAGCAGAAGGTTGATCTCAGAGTTTGAGGCTAGCTTTGTCTACATAGTGAGTTCCAGGACAACCAGGGCTACATAGAGAGACCCTGTCACACAATGTCAGGCTTGGTAGCAGACATCTGTATCCACTAAGCAATCCCACTGGCTTGAAAATATTAAAGACACTTACACTTCTATACCAAGATGGTCTGCTTTTTCTTAAGTATTTAATGTTTCCAGCTCCAACTCTTTTCATGCACCATTCTTCTTACCTAGAATAGCCTGGTAATTTTCTAAATCCCTAGACACAGACTCATCAAAGTACCTTCTCCTTCAGGGCTACAAAGCTGTCCATCTAGCCAGCATTTACATGATACTCAGCCACACAATGCTGTATGTGGCCAGGTCCTGGGTATCCTTCCCTTACATGTTTTCCTCTCTGGCTGTGTCTGCCACTCAGTGGCATGGTGGTGACTGGTGTTGCTCTCCTCAGCATTCTACTGGCACTCTATTGTGAATGAAAAGCCAAACTTCTTACAGGAGCTTATCCATCAGGGAGAGGTTCCTTGGCTGTAGAGGCATCCCGTGAACCAAGAGGCCATTCACGTTTGGCTGCTGACCACTTGCTTGACAGAAACTCATCTATGTGTCAAAAGCAGACATTGGTTGGTGAAGACGCCTGCTCCATTTGCCAAGTTCACACAGTTAGTGTTTACAGTTAGGTTACTTATACATCCCTCATCTCGTGCCTTAACTTTTAGGACAGTAGCCCACAAAGTGCACTGTCAAGAGAACACAGTTCTTTTCTTTGTTCTGTATGTCTACATGACAGATGGTGGACACACATAAAATTAAAGGCTACTTTCATAGGAGAGAAGCATTATGATTGCTTACAAGAGAAAAGAAAACCTAAATAATAGTTGCAAGTAAATTTTTTAACAACAGAAAAAATACTGGGCTACACAGTGCAACTATCTCTTAACATAACTACGTGACTATGTTGTTATGAACCTTGCCAGAAATAATACAACCAAGGCAAACACCAGGGCAAGCTTCCTCTGGCAAGAAAGGTTCTGGGTTCTCACTATCTGGTCTGGGGCTTACCGGATTTGAGGTGATGGACAGCACCCTGGACTGTGGCACTCGAGGTAAGACCAAAGGATGCTGTTCGTTCAGCACACAGGGACTTCCTGAATTCAGTCTGGTAATTTCAACGTTACTCTCATCATCTGAGCAAAGGAACAGGATCTATTATCCATAGGTGTCTGCTGATTAGAGTGCCAAGAGACAATCACCCTGACAGCTAGCAGTCTCTAGACAGGTTTTACTCACTTCTTCAGCTCAATTGCATACATCTGTACAGTTGTAAACCCTCAGGCTGAGAGCTCAGTTTAAAGTTTTTTTTTTTTATTCCAGGCTGATGATGGTTGGTGGTACCAAGCAAGGGAAAAGCAAAGATCTATTCTATGATGGAACCTTTGGAAATGGTGGAAGTACCCAATGTGGTGTCCATAAGAGATGAAGGCCATAGAACAATTAAAATGTGGCTAATATGGCTACTGTGACTGCAAACACCATTTTTAAAGTTAAAGAGCTACATGTTGCTAGTGACTACTGTAGAACTCCAGAACCTTCCTCCTGACCTCAGTTCCCATAGACCAGCGGTTCTCAAGCTGTGGGTCTCAACCCCTTTGGGGGTCTAATGACCCTTTTATATGGGGGCCATATCAAATATCCTGCACAAAGATATTTATGTTACAATTCATAACAGTAGCAAAATTAGTTATGAAGTAGCAATAAAAATAATTTTATGGTTGGCGTTCACCATAATGTGAGGAATGGTATCAAAGCATTAGGAAGGTTGAGAACTACTGCCATAAACAATGCACTGAAACTAGAAACCATTAAAAATCCTGTTTTCTATACAGAGCTTAAGTGCCCTGAAAAAGAGCAAGTGGAACAGCATTGTCAGTTCTGGACAGACTTCCAATATCAGGACAGACAGACACCGAATACAAAGTTAATTAAGATTTTTCTAAAAACCCTGGGAATATGAATAAGTGCAAAATATAAAAAGAAGCAATTTTTTAAAAAGGACACAATAAATCTACAAAAGCCTCTAAACTGAAATTTAAGCTTTGGCAGAAGGTTAAAGAAATAGTGAACTAGGAGGGAAATCTGTGGCTGCAGAAATGGCTCAGAAAGAGGACCCAGAGTTTGGCTCCCAGCACTCATATCAGACAACTTATAACCATCTGCAACCACAGCTCTTAAGTGTTCCCATAACTACCTTGAGCCTCAGCAGCACCAACATACATATGCATGCATGCATACATACACACACACACACACACACACACACACACACACACATATATATATAAATCTAAAGGGAAAATCTGCCAGGTGGTGGTGCACAACTTTAATCCCAGCCCTAGGGAGGCAGAGTTTAAGGCTAATCTGGTCTATAGATTGAGTTCCAGACAGTCAAAGCTATACAAAGAAATCCTGCCTCAAAATACCATTAAAAGATTTTTTCTGTATGCAAATTATATCTTAATTTAAAAAATGAACAAGAACATATTTTAATACACAATTAAAGCTTGAAGAACAACACTGACAATATTGAGCACAGGAACTTGTGTCTGGCCAGTGGGAAAACAGACTCACCTTCATTTGGAATAACTCTTGACTAGTGAACAGGGACCAACTTACAGTTCCTTGGTAAGCATATAGAAAACCTTACATATGTGTGGTATGAAATATGCAAGAACATTCATAGCATTATTGTCATAACTGTCAAATTACTGTCAAAATACATGGAACTGGGATTAAAATTTTGTATCACATTATTTATTTGTATGTGTGTACATGTGCCATGGTGTTCGTATGAAGGTCAGAGGACAACATGACAGCTTGCTCTTCCACCAAGTGGGCTGTGGGGGATCAAACTCAAGATTGTCAGGCTTGCCAGCAAGCTCCTTTACCCTCTGAGCCTCACCACTGGGACTTTTGAGCTTTTCATCATTAAGCACAAGTAAAAATGAATTGGAGGATAAGACATGTCTCTGAGTGAAACCAGTATGAAGTCTTGTAGTCTTCAATGTCTCTAAATCATTTCCATTATCATCATCGGATTTCTTGTCTATTTCAGAGATGGTGCACTTTCAGAAACAATCATTGTGAAACTTGTTTCCCTGTTAGCAAATTAGGGATAAAATCATGATAGTAATTTAAAGCTGAGTATTTTCTTCCTGATTTAGATTTTAAAACCTGTCTTGACTGAGAATAAAATGATCACAAACATCAGCTATGTAGCCTCTGAGAGCTCTAGTTAGTTCTGTACATCGTTTCCACCGATAACCCAGAATGCATCATGTGAGCACTGCAGGGTGAAAGTTCTATGCACAGCAAATGCTGGAGCTCCTGGGAGGAAGAGCACTTTTTATACACTTGCATTTGTGAAAGATAGGAATACTGGTACATTACTTAGTTTTATATACTTCTGGTTTATAGAAAATCATAAAGCATAAAAAATTGTCACATGACTAAACTGAGGTTGGCTTCTGTGCGCGTTAGTTTATTGTCAACACAAACTAGAGTCACCGAGAGAGAGAGAGAGAGAGAGAGAGAGAGAGAGAGAGAGAGAGAGAGAGAGAGAGAGAGAGAGTCTCCAGTTGAGGAACTGCCTCCATCTTATTGGCCTAAAGACACAATTGTGCAGCATTTTCTTGAATAATACCTGGTGTGGGTGGGCCCTGCCCATGTTGGATGGTGTCATCCCTAGGCAGGCGATTCTGGGATGTATAAGAAAGCAGGTTAAGAGCTCTGGGTGCTCTTCTAAAGGACCCAGGTTTGATTCCCATCACCTACATGATAGCTCACAACTGTCTGTAATTCCAGTCTTGGGGTCTAACACCAACTTCCTGGCCTCTCCAGGCACTGCACACACATGGTGCATAGACAGACATGCAGACAAATCCTTTACACATAAAAATAAAATACAGTCTTCATAAAATGAAGAAAATCTAATCAGATGTTAGATCCCCAGAACTGGAGTTAGGGATGGTTGTAACACCACGTGCGTGGGTGCTGGGTCCTCTGCAAGAACAAGGACTTTTAACTGCTGAGCTGTCTCTCTGACCCCAGACTTAACATTGGTTCTATCTTCAAAAACCCTCATAAAAACAACCCACCTTATGGTATTTAATTAATTAATTTAGGTTTTTAGAAACACGGCTTTATGCAGCCTAGGCTGACCTTCAATTCCTCACCCTCCTGCCAAGTGCTAAGATTATAGGTGTATACCATTACAAGCCAACCAGTTGACTTTTGTTTTTAAATGTGTGTCTGTGAGGGGAGGAATGGAACATGAGCATGTGCTGGCAGGCATGCATGTGCCAGGGCATGTTTGTAGAGGTCAGAGAGCAGCTCTTTCTTGCCACCTCATGAGACTGGGGGATCGAACCAAGGTCATCAGGCTGGCTGCAAGTATCTCTACCTGCTGAGCCCACTCTCTGGCCCTGACCAGATAATTTTTAATGAAGATTGTCACTCTTGTTCACTTCTCTTGGGTATCAGAAGGGAATACAGATAAGACAACATCAGACACAGCAAAGGTTGGACAACTGGAACTCACAATATCTGAGAGAGTGAGCATAGGTAAAGTCACATTAGAAACATTTTGGGGGAGATGTCACTGACATGGGCATAGTTTATCACATGACCTACCAATTCTATACACATTCTTCCAAAAGACACATGGAGATGTTCTTAACAGCACTTTATTCAGAAAAACATAAACTACATAGTCATCAGCAGTAGACATAATGAATACTACACAGCAACAAAAAGAAAAAACTGTTATAAGCAAACATAATAATCTAACGTTGAAAAAACATGCAGAGTGATGTATAAGGTATTAATCCATTCTTATAATTTTTTTTTGAGACAGAGTCTCACTTTGTATCCTCAGCTGGCCTCAAACTCACAGAGATGCTCCTGCCTCTACCTCTCAGCTACTGAGAATAAAGGTGTACAGCAACACCATATCCAGTCTAGGGGAAGCCACAAAACATTGGCTTTCAAGAAAATGGATAATGGATAATAAAAAAATAAACCCTGGAGATATTAACAAATGAGACATGCTTTGCAATTACATAAGTTGGTTTCCAAGATCAAAAACTCAAAGATAGAAGACAGAAAATAAAACTCACAATAAGGAGGGTATCAGTGAGCAAAACCAAAGTCAGTAACAGGTCCATGTTATTCTACACCCTCTCCTTTTTGTCAGGGTCTCACTATGTAGCCCAGATTGGTCTTGAACTCAGAATCCTTCTACCTCAGCCTAGAGTGCTGGCATTAGAGGAGTGTGATTAAATATCCAGCATTGTTCTACTTCACAACATTAAATGGAGGCATGAAAGTATAACGATCATACAGATAATTTGAGATCACAATGGCTGAAATGAAAACTAAAGTAAATAAAGTAAATAAACTTTAACAGTTTATTTACTTTATCACAGAAGAAACTGATGGCCCAACAACATAAATTATCCAAAATGAAATACAGAGGAAAAAAAGAAAAGAAAAGAAATCTGAAGCAAGGTTGGAGTTTATTAAAAATAACAAATTTATGCTGGGTAGTGGTGGTGGATGTATTTAATCCCAGCATTCAGGAGGCAGATGAAGGTGGATCTCTGTGAGTTTGAGGCCAGCCTGGTCTACAGCATGAGTTCCTGGGCAAGCTCCAAAGCTACAGAGAAAAACTCTGTCTCCCCAAACCCCCAAATCCAAACAAACAAAAAGCAAAATTATTTATATAGATTTAAGCATGGATACTAAGGGGGAGAGGAAAGAGGAGGCTATTACAGACAGACATAAGAAAAGCACAGCTGTACACCACATACCAGAGAGGTCTGAGGGACGACTTAAGGCTTTTTTTTTTTTTTTTTTTTTTTTGGTTTTTCAAGACAGGGTTTCTCTGTATTGTTTTGGAGCCTGTCCTGGCACTCTGTAGATCAGGCTGGCCTCGAACTCACAAAGATCCACCTACCTCTGCCTCCCTAGTGCTGGGATTAAAGGTGTGCACCATCAACGCTCAGCTCTAAGAAAATGTGTTTTAAAGCCCAAGTTATCTGAGGGCTCTGTGATCAGATGGACCCATTTCTGAATAACTGGATTCCTGACAGTTGAAAAACAAACACATGTAAAGGAAAAGCATAACTGA